AGAGCCCACAGAGGTTGTTTTCAAGAGCCTTTGTCTAATTTAATAAATCCAGGATGCTCAGCTTGCCAGCTGATCTATAAGTGTAATAAAATCCTCCCAGCACAGCGCTCCAGCCCCGTTGTGGCCCTATCGATAGCCTCGTGCCTGGTGGCAGGAAGCCCAAAAGGCTCATTAAAGCCCTGCTGCTGTGCCAGCCGTGCCTGCCTGGCGCCTGGGCAGCTCTGGGCAGGCTGAGCCAGCCCTGTGTGTGTGCACAGAGCATCCCCAGCTGGGGTTTAGGAGGTCATGCCTCGCCTTGCATGGATGAAAAGGGGTGATTCTACATCTGAAAATAGATCCTCTGCAACTACATCAGCTACCTGAAAGGTGGTAGTCAAGTGTGGGTCAGTCTCTTCTCACAGTAACAAGTGCTAGGACAAGAGGAAACAGCTTCAAGTTGTTCCAGAGGAGTTTTAGATTGGATATTAAGAAAAATTTCTTTAATGAAAGATTGGTCAAGCATAGGAACAGGCTGCCCAGGGAAGTGGTGGAGTCAGTGTCCCTGGAAGTGTTCAGAAAAGTCATGTGTGGTGCTTAGGGACATGGTTTAGTGGAGGACCTGGCAGTGCCCTGGGTTAATGGTTGGAGGTGTTTCTACGATTCTATGATTTTTCAAGGAGTTGGTGCTTTCTTGATGACCTCCAGGTGGGAATGGTGGATGTGGCTCTGGTTTGGGCTCCCAGTGCCATACTGGTGCTGGGATCTGCATGTCCAAGCTCTGTCTGTGCCCTTGCCCAAGCCGTGGTTGTCTCCGTGTTGCCCTGATGTGCCCATGACGATGGGACAGCGAGGTCTTGCTCCCTTCTGTTTGCATCCTGCCTGGAGCTCTGTGATCAGCACTGGACACTGGGATGGATGAGGCTTTTAGCAAACACAGGAGCTGCCTTTGCAGAGCACTCAGGAGTGCTTCAACTGAGCAGCACTCGGCAGCCACCCTCATGAATATTTTAGCTGGGAGAATTAACATTTGTCAAGACACATTTATGGAGGCAGTGTGGATGTCTCTTCCCCAGGCGCCGCAGGCTCGCTGCTGCTCCAGGGCAGTGCTGGGAGCCAGGGCAGAGCCAGGCAGATCCTGAGCCCAGAGTGGGACAGCAGAGCTGTGATCTCCCCTGGGACAGCCAGGCCCCGGTGCCAAGGCAACCAGCCCGCCATGCGAGATAGACAAATGGTTGTGGTTTGTTTTGTTGGTTTTTTTTTCTCTTCCCCTCCTGGTTCTTGGCAGAAAGTAAAATGTCCCTTTTGTTTGGTTTCCTCCTCCCCCTGCCCCATCGCCTTTCTTTAAAGGTTGTGTTCCAGATTTCATCAACCCACGTTGTGTAATAGCCCCGGACAACGGGTTGAGCACTGGCCATGTCCCATGGAGGCCATGGCAGAGCCCTTCCTCTGGAACTTGGCCATGGGATTACCTGCTCCAAAACATCCTGTGTACAGCTCCTGAGCAAAGCTCCCTTGTATCTTGTATCAAGCTGCCATGATCTCCATGTGTTAGAAATGGCAGGGAATGTCCTTAGAAAAAAAAAAAATCAGAAATTTTTGAATCTAAATAATCCTGTTTTTCTACCTCAAATAATCCTGTTTTTCTACCTCAGCCCTGCAATGCCTTATGGAAGCGAGGGACTTTGCAGATAAACCCTTTTGATTTACAGCGTCAGCTCCTGTACCTGGAAATTCATAACCCACGAAGCATCCAGCACTGTGCTGGAGGATGTAGTAATGCCCTGCTTGGGACTTCTTCCTTCAAGCTTCTAAGAGGTCCCCATTCTTTCTTTTCCTCCTTTTCACTGCCCAAGGAGGGGGGCTGCTGCTGAGCTCTGCATCCTAGGAGCATCCATCCAAAGATCCCTGTGTCTCATCCAGAGGCTGCTGGTGTTGTTGATGTGGAGAGCCTGGCATGACTCACGCCCTGGGCACCCGGGGAGGAGAGGAGGAGGAAGAGGAGGAGGAGAGCACTCTGTAGGCTTTGTGTGTTGTGGAGAGGGACGCTGTGAGCACGTGTGTGTGTCAATAGGGTTCTGTCATTCCAGAGGGAAACAGCAACGCAATTGTTCCTTGTCTCCAATTGTTCCTTGTCTCCAGTTCCTCTGCTGGTACGGGCAGCCTGGAGAGCTGGAGCTGCTCCTGTGATGCAAGTGTTCCTTTTCCTGTACTGGTGAGGGACAGGGACTGCTCGAGTGACTGGGCTGGAGGCACCTGGTGGCCTCAAGGAGAGCTGATGGTGGTGGCCATAATGGTGTCCTCTGCTTCCTGCTGTGCTTCCACTCCGACCCCTAGTTAAATGACACACCCAGCCACCAGATCCAGTTCTGGGATAGCTGTGGGCTCCATCCCATTGGCAGCAGCATGGGAGAGGGCAAAGGCAGGGCTGGCACCTGGGGATGGGGCTGTCCCTCTGCTGGGGACTGGCAACAGCCAGCAGCTGAGCCTGAGCATCCACTCCTGCCTCACCCAGGCACAAAGCCACCCTGGGGTCTGATGCTGGCTTCAGCCTTGTATCAAAGCATCTGCTCTTCCAAGGGCTGGTTGAAATCCCAGTACTGTGGTTTTGGTGTCTCTGCCATGCAACACTTCTCTGCTTCTGCATTTATTAATTCCTTTGCAACTGCTGGACCCACAGGGTCCTCACATAGCTAGGGACCAGCTTTGCTCATCCTTCTCCAAGGTTCCCCAGCCTTGAGAAACCCTCCAGCCCAGAAACAGGTGCTCAGAGGTGAAGAAGGGGTTCCAAGCCATCTCCTTTTCCTTGGTGGAGTTTGTGTGTGCACATGCATTTCCACCAGGCACCATTTTGCATTTTGCTTCACTTCAAAGTGGCTGTGCTGCCTCTGAGGAAGGAAACAAATGGTGTAAAGGAATTTACATCCCAAGCGAGCAAGGCTGCTGGTCTGTCGGGTTTGAGGTGCTGCTGAGGAGTGTGGGGTGCAGGGAGCTGCTTTGGGATGGAGGGTTCATCCCTGGGGCAGGTGGAAGAGGTTCATTCCCAGCTTTGTTCCCAGCTCTTTCCTGGTGTCCTGGCTCGGAGGTGCAGTGGTGGATGGAGACTCATGTGTCAGGCTGTTCAAGATGCCAGCATTCACCCTTCACAAGGAGGGCTGAGTGGCAAAACCACTTTGCAGGGCCAGCCCAGCAGTGGAGGGGCCCCAAACCGGCTCCTCTGCTCCCGGCACGCTTCGGTCAGGGCTGGGTGTGCCCGAGCTGCCATGGCCTTGGAGGGTGTTGGTTCTTCCTCTCCTCCTGTGCCAGCTCCCTGCCAAATCCCTCTGGGGCCTTACAAAGCCCAGGATCCCCCTTTGGGACTGGGGCTCCCTCCCTCCTCCTCACTCCCCTGTCATTGTTGAATTCCCTGGTGCAAAACTGCTCTGGGAGTGGAAGGAGGTTGGACCCGGGCCTTACAGTCCTGGAGGCCTTGGCTGTGCCAGAGGCCAGCAAGACAAAAACTTTTCTAAGACTCCACTTGGAACAGGAGAAAGTTTTTCCGTTGGGTTTTTATAGCTCCCGGAAAGCGGGGTTTTATTTTTGTTGTCTAAGACAAAAAATCCTCTTAGGAGCTGACTACCCGTGGCGGTGCAGGGTGGAGGGGCTGGGCATTTGCTTTCCCTCCCTCCATCCTGGGGGGTCTCTGGATACTGATTTCCACAAGGAAAAGAGGAGGGTTTGGTGTCCCTGATGTACAATTGGTCCCATTCATGTACCCAGTGCTGCAGCACCTGTGATGGATCCTTGCCATCCCTGGGCTGTCACAGAATGCTCCCACCCAGGGACACAGCTGCAGGGAAAGCCTTTTTCCTGGGGAAAGGGGCTATTTCCCACCACCCACAGATGGCTAAAATGAGGGCTCTGGGGGTCTGATCTGAATTTTCTGGATTTGTAGGCTGGAGCCGTTGAGTTCTCCCCCATCACCCTTTCTTTGTATGGCACAGGCTGCTTTTGGAGGGGTTTTGCTGGCAGGGGAGCTGGTTTCCATGGTAAAAACCTTAACAGCATCTGCCAGAAATCCGTCTCCTTGTTGGCCCGGCCATCTGGAGGGCACAGGGAGGCTTTGGCAGGGCGAGGAGGTGTCCACAGGCTGCTTTAGGTCCTCCTTTGGTGTTTTTGGAAGCTCGGAGGGATCTCCCCCTCAGTCATTGATGTCTCAGGTGCAGGTTTGTTTTGGGATGCTGGAAGTGTCACCAATCCTGGTGGGGACAGGCAGGCTGGGGACGTGGGAGCCATGGAATTGCTCGGGGGGGAGGGCTGCAGGCACCGGGGATGGGTGGATACTCTGTAATCGGATGAGCCAGCACTGCTCCAGATGGACCTGTCAGCTCTTGTCAGTGCTGACACCCCTCTGGGTGTCCCTCAATGTCCCCTTGGGCCACAGGGGCCACCACCTGTCCCACTTCACCAGGTCTCCTTGGAGCTATGGGGCTGAGAGGTGGCACTGTTCAGAAAACCCACCAAGCAAGGTCCCTTCCATGCTGCAGTCCCTCTCTGACAAACTCTGTGGTGTTTTCTTTAAATTTTAATGGGAAAAATGTGTCACTTGTGTCTGTCTATCTGAGCCATCCTGTGCTGAGGGCAGTGGGATCTTGCTGCTTTACCATCCCTGTCCCCAGGTGCCACCCCACCAGCCCAGAGGGTTTGCAGCTGCAGACCCAAAGCTGGCCACTCACTGCCTTCCTTGGTGCCACAGCAGGGCAGCCATCCTTCCCTGGATATTTGGCATAGAAGAAGCCCCTTGCTGGCAGCAGTGGACCAGCCTGGTCTGGCAGCAGTTGTAGCTGTTGGTGTGTGTCTGCAGATATGTGGCACAGAGCTTTGCTATGCACTGGGCACAGCACACAGATGGGATCTGGTTACTTGTGGGCAAAGCATCTTGGTGTGTAGGATCCTGGTGTCTTCCAGGAGAGGTTTTAGGGCTCAGCTCTGCACTCCTCTGCTCTTCTCTCCTTAAAGTTGCTCCTTTCTCCTTTCCCTTGCAGCCGACCACCCTCCCACAGGGCACCATCAACATGAACCAGTGCACGGATGTGGTGGATGGGGAGAGCCGGACAGGGCAGAAGTTTTCCTTGTGCATCCTGACCCCGGAGAAGGAACATTTCATCCGGGCCGAGAACAAGGAGATCATCAGTGGGTGAGTGCACATCTGGGGCTGGGCCACTCCCAGGTTCTTCCATTAGCCAGGAGGAAGAGGAAGGTGGGTAGGACTTTGATCAAGGCTGGGTGCTGTGGCTGTGCATACCCAGGTTGATCCTGGGTGCTGGGGTTCATGATGGCTGCTGTGGTGACCCCACAGTGCTTTTAGGGATCCCATCAGCCACCCAGCTCACTGGCACAGGTGCTGTCCCCACACCAGTGGCAGGTTTCATAATTCTGGGGCTGCCATGTCCAACCCCGAGTGCCATAAACCCTCTGGTCTTCATCCATCCTTGAGCAGATGTGGAATCCTGGGTGGATGCTCCCCACCTTCCTGGTCCCAGCAGAGCATCTCACCTCTAAGGATGATTAAAATAACACAGGAATATCACAGGAATGCAGTGGCTCAGTGACACTGAAGATTAGACCGCTAAAACGAGCAAATCAGGGTAAATTTCCCAAGTCCAGGTGTTGGGTGGTGACCTAGAAACATCCTTTTCCATCACTCACATGCCAGCTGGGGTTGAAGCTGGTGCTGGTGAAGGTGCAGAACCCTGGGAGAGCCAAGCTGCCAGCACACAGTGACAGAATGTGGCTGTGCTGCTGCTCACCTGAGAGCCTTTCCCACACTGAGTGCCTGGAGCTCAGTGCCTCCTCCTCAGAATTTGACATTTGAAACTTCAGCAGGAAGTTGAAGGGATGAACACTTGCTCTTTCCCACTGTTCCCAAGGCACAGCATCTCCTGCCTCCCCCAGCCCTGGCAGCAGCAGAATCAGCACTTTCTGCTGAGATTTCTATTTCCAACCCTTATCTTCGGTTGTGACTCCCCTCGTTTTGTAAATGCTTGTTGAAATAGACATTTTTATACCAAGAGCTTGGGATTTTGACCAGTTGAGTGTTTTCACACATGGAAATTTCCCTGCCCTACTGAGACAAGTGGGCACAGGTGAACTTTGGATTGGCAAACTGTGTCCCCAGCCCCATTCACGGCGACGTGGAGCTGGGAATCAGGGCACAGGAGAGCGAGCTCCTCTCCTCCCTGGCAGGAGCAGTGACTGTGCCCCAAACCGTGGCCAGTCCCCATGGTCTGCTTTCTCCACCCTCTCCCCACGCTCTGGTTCCCAGCTCAGCCTTTGTTGCTGGTCCTGCCTGCCGTGGGAGGGAGAGGCATTGCGGAGCGAGGTGGGGCTGATTTATTGCTCATCAGCCCAGCGATGGGTTTTGAAGCAGTGCGTTTGCTCCTGACTGCAGGCATTAATCATCCCCAAGCAGTCCCACTCTGGGGCCGAGCCAGGCTGGTTTCGTTTGCAGTTGCAGCACGACAGGAAGATTTCCCTGGCTGGGGGAGAATTTGTTTTACGTTCATTCTGTGCTTCTGGCGTTTATTGCTTAACCAAATCCCACTTGATGTGGTCATCTCCGAACGTTTTTACAACAGCAGCGTGCAAAGCAGGGGGAGAAGGAAACGGGAGCAGGGACATTTGAAGCAGGAATGTTTCCCAGTGGTCCGGGGATCCCTGTGGAGTTCTCAGAGATGCGGGGGCAGGTTGTCAGGCCACGGTGGGAGGACTCAGGACTCCTCAATGCTGAGTTCAAGCTGCTCTTCCTTGGACAAAAGCGCTTTGTCTGCAGTGTGAGGGTGTTGGCATGGCTCAAGGGGACTGTCCTGCTGGAGGCTCTGTCCCTCTCCACTGTCTTTCAGGATCCTTGAATCTCTGCCCCATGTCAGCCTTGGCTGTGGCCTCACTTTTGCAGAGAGCAGGGTTTGAGCCAAAGCACCCTGGGATCATCCCTATTCTCCTGCCTTATTTTTCCCCCAGAAGCTGGTTGGGATGGGTATTGTTCACCAAGCTGACCCTGACCAGGTCAGCATCACTCCTGTCCCTGTGGCACAGACCTCACCTTCTGCTTTCTCTGCCTGCAGGTGGCTGGAGATGTTGATTGTCTATCCCAGGACAAACAAGCAGAATCAGAAGAAGAAGAGGAAGGTAGAGCCCCCAACTCCTCAGGTAACCCAGGGACACACACACACTGTCACACAGTCCCTTGCCTCCCTCAAGGGCCATGACCTGGGGTAGATCTCCCCAAGCCATCAGGATCACCAGCCCTCGGATGCTGCCTGTGTGGAGGGTGAGAGCTGGAGCAAACCAGGGCAACAGATCAGTGCAAAGAATTCCTGGTCATCACTTCCAGGGTCACGCACTCCTGCTTTCCTGGCTGCTTTGGGGCTACATTTTTCCCCCTGTGTGCTGTTTTGTGGTGCCACCCCTGCACACAATCCTGGGAGTGGCCACAAAGCCACATGGTCCCCGTGGGGGGACCAGGGAGAGGTGCTGTTCATGGGCCATTTCGTCAGAAACAGGATGAAATTCCATCGGGCTCCAGTTACTCCCTTTGAGATGACCCCAGAGATAATGGGAATGAAAGGAAAATACTAAAGGCCAGGGCCAGGCTGGGAGCTCCGGGGGCCGGAGCTGGGCTCTCCAGGGACCCAGCAGTGGCTTCGTGCTCACTTTGACTATAAATGGTAAAAAGTGGGGCTGGCCGTGACTCACTCCTTCCTGCCTGGCTCCCACGTGGCCAGAATGGGGGAGAATCCCACAGATGGGGAACGTGACCCCAAGGCCACCCTCGTCCCTCGCTGGGGCTGAGAACAGCCATGTCCCTGAGGCTGCCTGACCTCTGGGCACGCGTCCCACTGCCACAGGGGACCGCCTGGGAGAGCTCCTCTGGCCATGCCAAGGACCAAAACCAGCATCAGGGCTCCCCCGAGCCTTGGTTTTCAGGTCCTCTTTGATGAAGTTCCAAGGATGGCCCTGGTGCAAACTGGGCCGTGGATGGGTTTTATACAGTGCTTGTTCAAATAAGTTTTCATCGCTCCACTGGGCAATGGGAAAAAAGTTAGTGGGGAGATTCTTTGCACATCAAGCTGTAAGTCTGAGCCACCCCTTGCAAGGTCTGGGGTCCTCAAAGCCTGAACAACCCCTCAGGTGCTGGCTCTGGTGATGCTCCAGGGAAGATGCCTCCTCCCTTCGTGTCTTGAATTGTCAATTCTCAACTTCCAAGAAGAGGACTTGTTGCATTTGGGGCACCCAGAGAGTGGATGCAGCAGGGCAGGGATGCTCACCCTGGCTGGAGTGCACCACTAAACCCAGGCTGGGTTCAGGAGGGAGACAGGGTGGAGGCGCAGAGCCAGAAAAACATCATTCTGGGTTACATTTCATCACCATGGCAACTTCTTGGAAACCGTACAGGATCTGAGCTCCTGAGCACCAAATAAGGGAAGCAGCTGTGGGAAGGATGCTGGCTCCCTGTGGGCAGATGGGCTTCCCAGGTGCTTGGGGATGGGGACCAGGGACCCTTGTGGCACACTTCCCTCTTGTCTTAGGGCAGACCACCCTGTCTTGCTTGCTACCCTCCTTCCAGTCTCTTTATCCCATGGCTTCCAGCCCCATGGTGCTGGAAAAAGGCTCAAATTCACTGTGCAAAACCAACCTCCGTGTGGGAACTGCTGCTGGATGGATGCTGTGCTGCGTCAGGCACTGAGGAGCAACCTGCAAAAGCAGAAGCAGCATCTTCCCTCTGTCTCCCAGATCCTGCTGGTCCGGGGAGGGGAGGAGGATGCGGAGGAGAAGATCAGCACCAAATTCTCCTCTGTGAAATGGGCTTTCCTGAAGTTGGCTGCTGTTCAGCTTGCTCTCCGTGTGCTGGTGCAGAAAGCTTGCTCTTCCTAAAGATGGCCACACACTAATCAGGCAGTAGATCATGTCTTAGAGCTGCTTAGGGGGCGTGGACACTTTTGTGATATTGAAAAAACAATTGGATATTCCTGCTTTTTCTCACTCTCACATAGTTTCTGCTTGCCTGTGGTAGAGCTAAGCTGGCTTACAGCTGGATGTTCCTGGAGCATCAAGGTCATTTCTGACTCCCCCCATCATTTTGCATCATCCCTCTGCAAAATCCCCAGGGTGGGAGCAATGCAGGGAATATCACTCCTGCTGTAGATTTTTGGACAGGGAGTGTTAGGTGTTTTCACTTTGCTTTGCAAGCATCTTGCAGTTTTAGGGGAATAAAGGCAGGTTTCTCTTGCAGCTTCTGCCGTGCTCCAGCAGAAAGGTGCAGGCAGCAGGAGAGACCGGAATGCCTGTGCCTGCCTGCTGCCCATGGGAACTCGAGGCAGGGTTTGGGGCTGAAATGTGGGATTTGAGGCTCTGCCCTGGGTTTGCACAGGGGTGTGGCAGGCTCAGCTAAGCAGAGCGTGCCCAGACACACCTTAAGCAACCGGAGGCCGGTTTTGCCGATTTTGGTGCATTCTGCCTTGTGGAGTTGTTCATACCCCTGAGCAGCAGAGAGTTAATGTCTCTGTTCCCTCACAGACTTCTTTTTGGCCCACATCTCTGCCTAATTAAATCCATATCTACAAATAATTACGTGGGGGTGTGTGTAAGAGATATATCAAGATATATATCCCGAGCTGGTGATTAGCTTTGGGCTTGGATCAATGAAGGAGGGTGTAGGGGACCTTGGAGATTGGCCTCATCCTCTTCTTGAGCAGGGTCCCCTTGAGCAGGATGCCTGTGAACTCTGGATCGTTTACCTCCAACACTGCATTCCTTCAGTGTGAAATTTCCCAAGGGGATTTTTTTTTTAAATTGAGGTCATTTGCTGCTTGTCATGGCTGTGTGTGGAGCCAGGATCCTCTCCCTGGGAGTTCCCTGGTGGCTCCAGCACAGCCCTGCAAATGCCAGTGGAGGTGCAGGGCTAAAACCCACCTGATGTGGGAGGAGGGGATAGAGAGGATGCTCTTTGCAGCCCTTGTTCCCGGCTTTCAGTTACCAGTTCATGCAGTCCTGTATTCCCCCCCTGCTCCATGGAAAGGGAATAAGCAGCTGGAAAACTTCCCACAGTCCAAAGGGGAGTTAATTGTCATTGATTTATTGGTGGCTTTAAGAAAAATAATCTGTGAATGCAGAAGCTTAATATGACAACAGCAAAACATCTGCTAATGCACAAAGCCAAGGAAGGAGTTGGGAAAGCTGCTGCCTCTTCTAGGTCACATTCTGAATCTGGGCTGGCCAGGCTGTTGCCACCAAAGGGGCATAATCCATCATCTCATGGACTCCAGAGCTCCTTGTTAGCAGAGAAGCACTGAAGATGATGGGGAATGTTTTAAAAGGGTGTAAAGCACTGACACATGTCACTGTCCCTTTCCTGTCCTGCTAGGACGTGTCATGGGCAGCACCCAGACTATGTGGAACTCACACCTCAGGGCTAAGATCTGGGGAACCCTGAGTGTGGAGTTGGGGCAAATTCTCTAACTTCCTGTATCTCCTGGTTTTTTTAGGAGCCAGGTCCTGCTAAGATGGCTGTGACCAGCAGCAACATTCCCAGTGCTGAGAAGGTCCCTGCCACCAAGTCCACGCTGTGGCAGGAAGAAATGAGAGGCAAAGATCAAGCAGATGGGGGCAGTGGAATTGGCCCAGCCCAGAGCCCCATGCAAGGCCAGGCTGGGGCTGCCAGCTCCATGAAGGATCCTGTGCTGGACAGCAAGGAAGGTGAGAGATGGGATTCCAGCACTGGTGTCAAACTGTGATGGTCGTGTCGTTGTTCTCCCTGCTGGGGGCAGGTCACAGTGCTGGGGACATTCCCTTATGTTCCCACTCAGATGGGGAATGTTTTCTGCAGGAGTGTCCATTGCCTTGCACCCATGAGCTGTGGTTGCTGCCAGGCTGGGAAGGACAGGGATGGAAGCAGATGCAGAGCTGTAACTGCAGCTATCCATTTCTTGGTTTGAAAGTTCAGATCTTTGACCTGCACAAACCTGGCTCAAGGGTTGAATCAGCATCCCCAGTTCCCTGCAGACTATCCCACCATCTCCATGGGCATGAGGGCTGGTCCGGGTGGAAAAGCCAAGGGTGCAGGAGGTAGCACTGCATGGGGCTGGTACCCAGACCAACTTTGCTCTCACACCTGCCCCTGTCCTGGGTGGAATCAGAGTGTTTCTTTCTTAAAAGCAGAACTTGGACTTGAAACCAAGCAGGGTGACTTCTCTGTCCCTTAGAGGAGAGCTCCATGAACGGAGACCGGATGGACTGCGGGCGGAAGGCGCGTGTCGAGAGCGGGTACTTCTCCTTGGAGAAGACCAAGCAAGACTCGAAGCTGGAAGAGCAGCAACTGCCACCCCCACCAAGCCCACCCAGCCCCAGCACCCCGAACAACAGGTACAGTTATCCCAAATCGCCCTCACAGGAGCATGCCCAGCCCTTTCCTTCCCCAGGTATCCGATCAGGCGACCGAATGATTCACAGCTTCTCTCTGAACTCCTTGGACTCGAAGAGCAGTTGCCCCATGCACAAGGACTCCAGCAACAGAGATGTAGGAAGGGGAGCTGAAAAATCGGGGCGTCCCCTTTCTTTTAAAGCCAGCCGGCAGTACACCACCCTGGCCGACGTGCCCAAGGCCATTAGGATCAGTAATCGTGAGGCCTTCCAGGTGGAGAGGAAGCGGCTAGAGCGGAGAACCCGGGCTCGTAGCCCTGGGAGAGAAGAAGTTGCCCGGCTCTTTGGGAATGAAAGAAGGTAAGGGATGAGGGGCTCATCTCCTTGCATGCTTCCAGCAGCAGTGAGGTTGTGTCCCCAGTGCAGCCTGGATGGAGCAGGTGGGGTTCGCTGGGTGGAGCCTCTTTGTTTTTCAGTGCTCCTGGGTCTAAGGGTGCCCATCCATGCTGACCATGTGGTGGGACGTCTTTAATAGTGGTACTGGGCAGGTGTCACCCCGCCTGGCTGCTCGGGGGATATAGAATGATTTGGGTTGGAAGGGACCTTAAAGTTCATCCAGTTCCATCCTCTGCCATGGGCAGGGGCACCTTTAACTATCCCAGCTTACTCCAAGCCCTGTCCTACCTGGCCTTGGACACTTCCAGGGATGAGGCAGCCACAGCTTCTCTGGGCAACCTGTGCCTCACCAACCTCACAGGGAAGAATCTCTTCTTACTATTTGATCTAACCCTACCTTGGTGTTGGGTGCTGTTGGATGCCCACATTGCCATCAAGCCCACACTGCTGGCCCCTCCCAGCGTGGCACACACTGGCAGCCAGCACCATTAATTAGGTTAGCTCTCCTAATGGCGTTAGTGCCAGGTGCCTTACGCAACTGCCTAATGAGCTGAGAGAGGTTTCAAAATGTCACGGCATTAATCTGGGAGAGGAGGGAGAGGTGGGTGCAGTGCCAAGGCAGGGCTCAGCAGGCTGCAAAACAGCTTAGTGTGGAGGAGGACGGGGAGGGCATCCACAGCGTGCGCCGAGTGCCCTCCGGGCGAGGCCAGGGACGGGCTCCACTCGCCCTGGGAGAGACACATTTGTGCAGTGAGGGCAGTGGAGGAAACTGGGAGACAGGCCCCGGGCGAGAGGGCCGCCTGCCAGTCTGATTTTCCTGCCCTGGTTCTCCTCCGGGCATGTTCTCTCTCGCACAGTTTCAGTAGGAGCTTCTCTGTTTCTTCCCAGCCCCTAAAGGATTGTTTTCCAGACTGGCTTCCGAGAACTGGGAGTAGGTCTGGGATGTGCAGCATAGCCTTGTGCTGGTGCTATCAGTCGGCAGGAGGATCCCAAACCTGGCCCAGAGTGTGTGCAGGGTGTGCTGGACTGGGAATAAATGAGGGAAACTTGGGTTGGCTTTGTCTGCCTTGGGAATTGGCTTCTCCCCAGGATGGAGGAGGAGGATACCACCTCGGCCATCCTGGCTGGGGACAGGGCTGAGAAAAGGCTGGTGGCTCTGGTTTTCAGGCCGAGCTGGTGCTGCCTGTGGGTGACATTGTGTCCCTGCTGTGTTTGCTTGCACAGGATACCGTGGCCAGTGCCTGTCCCCAGAGTGACAGAGCAGTGCATTCCTCCAGTGCCAACAGTCTCTTGCCCTGGAGTATCCTGCAGCACTGGGATCATCCTGCACAGAGTTGGGGAGCAGAATTATAACAGATAACAGAGCCTGGGAGAGGACACTGCTGCCAGAGTCTGTCCTTTTTTAATGTCAGCCCCACTCATTGCCTGCTGGTGGGTGCCTTTTCCCAGGGAAGGTTTCCCAGCCTGGCTCGGGCTGTTAACAGTTTTGCTTGCTTTATCAGTATTGGCAGCAATTCCCCTGTATCAGCCCAGGGCTTTTATCAGAGCAGAATGGGTGCAGGGAGAGGAGCAGGAGCTGCACCAGGCACAGGGGTCTTGCTGCCCACGGGGCTGAACCTGGTCCAGCTTTTGGGAGTGGGGTGATAGCAGAGAGAAGAGGGAGGGGTCCTCACCTGCCAGAGGGTTTGGCCGTGGATCACAGCCCACAGTGCTGGAGGAATGTGCCATGAGCAGGGATGGCTCAGTGGGTGTTCAGGGATGGGCACGTTTGTTTTCTCCTCTGGTAACCTGGGAATTGGCCAGTGCAGGTGGTGTGGGTGGAGAAGCCCTGTGTTCTGGAGCTGGGACAGCCATGTTGGAGCTCAGTGGACTCAACAGGTCACAGAGACACTGTCCAGTGTTGCCCCAGAGAATTAACATCCCCCAGCACCCTGCTCAGCTTGGCTTGGCTGCTTTTTAAACTTGAGTTTACTTAGTCCCTATGTCCCTCTTGTTTTTCTCTTCCAAGCTCAGACAAAAGAGAGTTTGAGGTTGGGCAGATACAATAACTCATTTCCATGCTGTGGGGTTGGCTTTTTCCCCTTGGTTTAACACCATTTGTAATAATCCTTCTCAGTAACCCACTAACATGTCTGGGAACACTTGTCCCATGCCAAGCTCACAGGCACCAGCCAGGCATCATCCAGATCTGCCTTTCAGTGCAGCCAAATGAACTCACTCAGATTCTGCTGGTATTTTCAGCTTTTCCTCCCATTTTTTTGTGTAAATCAGTGCAGGTGTCAGAGCTGTGGATGGAAAAGAATAATTTTAGGTACCCGGTGTTGCATCCTGAGTGCCACACCTACAGGCTTAGCTCCAGATAAAACCATTTGTTGAGTCTTCTCATCTTATTTCCTTATCACAAGAAATGTTACATGATTTAAGTCCAGGATTTTTTTGTGTTGACCATTTATACCTGATGCTGACTCCACGCCCCATGCAGACGTCTGAGCTCGCAGCCACTCAGAACCAGGAATCAGGAAACAGGAGATAATCTGCACGATTTTGGCGGAGCAGCAGAGTGCGAGTTCCCTCTGCTGGCACGTGGCAGGACGGGGCTGCGGCACCCACCAGGATGTCACAGTGGGCTGGGGGACAGGGACTGAGGCCAGAGAGGTCGAGCCATCTCCAGTCTCCCCTCTCAGACCCGTCCCTAGGGCAGAAGGAAACGCCATGGAAACTCCATGGATGAATCTCGAGGTGTTGCACACAAAAATCACGGATGAAAGGAGCTGCAGAAACGTCCTTAGACAGCAGTCCCCATGTCCCAGAGGGACTCTGCAGCTGCAGGGATAAATCCCTGCACATCTCAGGATTTCTGTTTGACAAACTTGCCTTTTTGTGCACGATTCCAGAGGTGCAGCCTGTAAAACCACAGCTTTCCCAGCTGACCCCATGTTCTTCTGACACAGGCAAGAGTTCACGATGGTGTCAGCCAGACCTGCTGTAGGAGTGTGCTCAAGGGCTGAGGTGTATTTCTAGCATCAGTCAATAGCAGAATTGCCTGAAAATGCTTGAAAGACTTTTCTCGCTCAAATTCCTTCTCTGGAGTTTCTTGAGGTGTAAAGCTCTGCTCTGAATTCTGCTTCTCCCCATACAGAGGAGTGCCTGCTCTCCCAAATACAGTTTTTTTTTTTTCCTTGTAAAACTATCCTCATCATTCCTGTGGACCTCTTGGGAAATTCCTCTTCCTTTTCCTGACACTCGCTATCTTTCTTGATGCTAAATAATGAATGAATCCAATAAAAACAAAGCCCTTTCTTCCAATCAAAGAAAATCACTTTAATGACAGCTCGTGCTGGTCTTTTGGGCTTTCCTTCCCACTGCACACCCCCTCCACTAACAGCTGAGATCTGCAGCCTGGGTTTAGTGGCCTGGAAAAGATTAACAGCCTGCATGGCCAAGGAATTCCTTGGGATGAGCTTTTGTAGTTGGAAAGCACTAAATGGCACTGCAGCTTTTAAAAACCTTTTTCATACCTGTCCCAGCCTTGTTTTTCCACACAGAGCTGCTGTGTGGAGGGAGCAGCTCTATCCAACACGTGGGGAGGGGAGGAGAGCCCTTCCTTCCCCGTCCCTCCAAGATCTCTGGCAGTAACCTCTCTGAAATGTTGATCTAATGGGAAAAAAAAAAAAAAAAAGATTCTTTCCTGTAATCTGGATGATATTAACCCTTGGGGCTGTGATTTGGTTGCAGTGATTTATTTTTCTCCTCCCTTTTTCGAATGACGAATGACTGGAATGATTTTGATTTTGTTTTATATGTAGATGCAGATATATAATTTCCTCTTCTGTTCATTCATTTTCCAGCCTTGTTTTCTTCCAGGTCTTGTTGCTCTCCACCTTCTCCTGCTGTGTTGCTGTGTGACGTGTCCACCTTTACTTCGCCTGCTTCGCTACCATCTCATCTCAATCTCAAGCCGTAGAACAACCTGGTGGTGCAGCCCCTTTCATGAGAAATCAACCTGCTTTTGATTTTGTTTTTATGTTTTTGTTTTTTGTTTTTTTTTTTTTAATTGGGTTTTTGTTCTTTTTTTTTTTTTTTCTCTTGATTTGTTTTTCTGCAGACCTTCACCTAATAGGGCACAGACAATGTTAATTCATGGACCTTTTCCTTCCTCCTGAACTGAGACTCAGAGAAGGCTGGGCCAGCATAAAAAGGGTTAAAAAAATGTGACTCCAAAACAGTTCCCTGTCTGTCAGTGAACACAGAGCATGGATTTATGCTCCACAGCCTATGTCAGGCATCTCATGAGCAGAACATCCCAGGAAAATCAGGAGCTCTACACGAGCTGGGATCTGCCCACTCCAAGTTTGCAAACTGGGAGGCAGCAGGGGCTGAACAGATGTCCCCTAAAAGCATCAAAGATCTTTAAATTTACAAAGCAATGTCTTCTTCACCAATTTTGTCTCTTCCTCTTTGGTTGTGTCCTGGCAGCCTGGCTCTGAGCAGCAGTGTGGGGGGGCCCCAGCCCCCAGGGGATGGGATGTGCTCTGACTGGTTGTCTCATTTAAAGAATTTGGTGCAAATATTGGTTGAAAACTGAACATCTCATGGTTTTTGAACCTTAACCTGCTGTTCCTCTTTGTGGGAAGTGTTAAAAATGTTTTTATTTTGGATAATCTGTTCTCCCTCATGTGGTTGCCATTGTGATTTTCATGCACACCAGAGGCTCACACAGAGCAAGCAGCCCCAAGTTTAGATGTGGCACATGTGGGTCCAAATTTTGTGTCAAGAAACCACCTGGACTGAGCTTTTTTGGGAGGTTTGAAATGGAACTTTAAGCCTCACAGCTCGGAGCACAGCTGGCAGGTGCTGGTGGTGGGTTATTGCTTTACATTCCCAGTTTGTGATTGAAGACCTGAGGCTGATACTTTCCTGAACCTCTGGGAATGCAAACTTAGACATGAGAAGATTCTTTAGAAATTCCTCTCCTGTGGGTCAGCAAGCAGCTTCTCATGCTGAAACAGCACTTCTAATTCCACCTGTTTGCTCGTCCTTAAGAGAATCCCATTTGGGTTTGATCCAGGGTTGGTTCCTGCTCCATCCACATTTCTTCATAGTTCTCCATCCTCAGAGACACAAGTGCCACGTGCAATGGGCCACCAAGGCAGTGTCTGAGAGCCCAGGTTGTGCCCCCTGATGTCCACACTGGGTTTTCAGCCCAGTTAAGAGCAGGGAAAGGCCCCAGGTTCTTCAGGGAGTGCCCTGCTGTGGTACAGAGTGCTCCTCATCTCTTCATGTCCTTTCAGCTGGTGCATCCTGTGAGCCAAAACCCTGGTTTGGGGGCACCTGAGGACACCCCTTGCTCCATGCAACCCTGTGGCTGTTCCCTGTGTGGGGCTGAGTTTTGAGAGGGTTCCTGTTGCAGTGAACACACTGGGGGACCCAGAGCCACCCATTACCTCTGCACCCTTGCTTGGTCTGATGTGTCACTGCTCTGGGGTCTGGGGAGCAATTGAGAGCCCCAATGAGTGCTAGAGATAGAGGCAAAGCTTAAGCCAAAGCTGCTCCATAATCCCTGATTCCCAAGGGCCTGTAAAATTCACAAATAAAAAGTTATTGCTGGTTCTGTGAGGGGTTCCTAGTTACTGAAGAGGATGCTAGGTGCAGAGCTGAATAATGGGAGGGTTTTCCCCACTTTGTGGGTAAAAATTGTGTCAGATCGGGGATTTTACCCTGGATTTGACCACGAGCTCACAGAGAAACAGGGACCAAAAAAGAGGTGTGCATGAACTCTGGGTCAAGCAATTCTGCAACTTTAAATTTGGGGATTGTACAGCTCCACACAGTTGCTACTCTAGTGTTTAAACCATCTTTGGTTTCCCTTTTTGTCTCTGTTTTCCAGGAGATCCCAGGTGATTGAGAAATTCGAGGCACTGGACATTGAGAACGCAGAGCACATGGAAACGAACGCGTCGGGAGGTGCTGCCCTTTCCAGTGAGACACGGCAGGGCAGGAGTGAGAAGAGGGTTTTCCCACGGAAAAGGGTAAGGTGCTCACCTGGAAGGTGAAACCTGGAATCCTGCAGCCCAGGGTAGAGGGTTCAGCTCCAGGGTTTCTCCTTGGATGTGGATTTGGAGTTGCAGGCAGGAGCTGAACCTCGGTTTGTGCTCAGCCTGTGCAGATTTTCCTGCTCTGCTCCCTTAGCCCAGGTGTAGATCAGAGTGGAAAATCAGACTGTCTCTTCTTTCTGCATAATACAAAGGGAAACTTCAGATCTAGCATGGCAGGACACATCAGTATAGGGTGAAGTAACAAAAGAAACAGATTTGAGAGCCCCAGATATGCTTGGATATAATGGGAACAAATTAATGCCTGAAAGGACAAAAAAATGTATTGCCAAGGAAATGACACTTGTTCTGAGCCTGAGATGCCCCTTAAATAAAGCAGATTTTTATGCCATGAGCCAAGAGAGCAGGACTCTGTCCTAGTTCCTGCACTGATCTGGGCTAATGCTGTTCACACAGGACTTCACTTGTGAAGGAGCAGCCGTGGGCTCCATCCTGGACGTGTCTGCATCACCTCTGTCCCCACACCGCCGGGCAAAGTCACTGGACAGAAGGTCCACAGAGTCCTCTATGACGGTGAGCCACCAGGGCCATGTCCCCTGCCTTGGGGCAGGACATGAGAGGCCCTTCCCAGAAGGTCCCACAAAAAACTGGGCTGTTGCTGCTTTCCTCACAGCCAGCACATAGGATATGGGATACACTCAGACTTGGAGCAAGTTCAGGGATCTGATTCAGGTGTGAAGGGCCAGACTTTTTGGCTGTTGCAGAAATTAAAACTCAGAGTCTTGTGAGGAACACTTTTCCTTAAAGTACAGCAGCAGCTTGGGAAGCAGACTCTACTCTGGTTATTTTCCTCTGGAATGCCCCATTTCCTTGATGCTTTGTGTGATGTGTCAGACACTCATGCTGTAGGTCACCCTGCGAGTGTTGGGGTCACCCCGGCTGGCCAGAGCCCCTCTTTGCCCCGTGGTGTCCCCCAGCAGAGGCTGCAGAAGGGCATTTCCAGCTCACAGAGGGTCAGTCCAGGTTCTGGACTTGGAGCAGCTGCTGTGTCATGACTGTGGTATTTTGATAGGATCACAGAATCCCAGAATGGTTTGGGATGGAAAGGACCTTAAAGATCATCTTGTTCCAATTCCCCTGCCAGGGGCAGGGACACAGACCGGGCTGAGCAAACACATGTCCCAGTTTTCTAATGCCATTTCCTTGATGTTTTTGCAGTTAGAAGTGGGTGTGAGTGGGATGAAGGCTGCAAGGAAGGGCTCAACCTTCCCTCCTGAGCTTTCCTCCCTTTGCATATTTCAAATGCTCAGCAGACCTGGAGGCAAACAGTACAGAATAAACACAAAGTACTCTCCTCTCCCTCACCACCCTTCTGTAGGAACAAAATAAATACACTTGCTAATCTCTCAAATAGATTACAGAGCTACTGTAAATACAAGTTGCATTTTTTGTGGATGGACAGCGTCTATTCAAGGACTTATCAGAAAAATGCAGTAGCTTGGTGTTTCTGGAGCTTTTCCTGTAGACCTGTACAGCCACAGAGTGATTTTTAAATTCTTGATGGGAATAAAAAGTGGAAGAAGTGCATATGAAGTGGCAATCCACATTATCTAGTGAAGAGAAGAAAGTAATGCAGGTTTAGATTAGATATTAGGTGAAATTCTTCCCTGTGAGGGTGGTGCTGCAGTGGCACAGGTTTCCCACAGAAGCTGTGGCTGCCCCATCTCTGGAAGTGTTCAAGGCCAGGTTGGACGTGGTTTGGAACAGCCTGGGATAGTGGGAGGTGTCCTTGCCCATGGCAGGGTGTGGAACAGAATGATTTTACTGTTCCTTCCAACTTAAAACATTCTGTAATTCAGTGCTTTGCTTTCCCTTGTGTTTTTGTGGAGCAGGGCAGGGTTCCCACCACCATGGGATCACTCAGATGTGGGATGTGCTGCCCCACAGGTTTGATTGAATGGGCTGCCAGACCCAATTTCCATTGCTGCCCTTGCTGTAACCCGTTTCAGATGCTGCAGCTGGATTTCACACACTGCTGTCCTTTCCTCCTCCACTCTGCAGCACGTGGAGCAGCTGGAGGAGCTCAGCCTCGGGGGAGTGAAAGCATTTCCACCACATCCTTCCCTGCACACGGGCAGGGCTGGGAGGAGGGGCTGGCAGCAGTTGGCCCATGCTGTCCTGCTTGCTTTTTTCAGGAATTCAACATCCCCATGCACCCACATTGGAAAAAGCAGGTGTCATTTGGGTGGTGCAGGGCTCAGATTCCCTGTATTTCCAGCCTTGGGAACTCAGATTGTTTTGACCCCTGCAGCCTTGCATCAATAGCACATAATTTCTCTTTCATAATATATAATAGATGGTAAAACTGCCTGAAGTCTTGCTAATTCCTTCTTTATCCTTTCTCTGTAATGTAGCAGTAGGAAATTGCAGGAGAAATGGTAGGAAGGGAACAGCCTGAATAAACTGTGTGGAGGTCTCCATTCCTCCTAGGAGCAAACATTTAGCCACCACGCAGTGTAATGATTCAGTTTGGGCTAGATGACCTTTAAAGGGCCCTTCCAACCCAAACTGTTCTATGATTCTATGAATTTAACTGTTGTTGGTCTCTTTTATTGCTCTTCTGGGTTTTATCAACTCACTGCTGTTGCCTTCTGGGCACAGACACTTCTTCCCTCTCCTGATCCCTCTCTCCTTTCTTCCAGCCTGACCTGCTGAACTTCAAGAAGGGCTGGTTGACAAAGCAATATGAGGATGGGCAGGTGAGTCAGGAGAAAGCTCTGTCCTTTGTGTCAGTGTTTGGTGCTGTGGTCAGTCCTGGTTTCTGGCAGCTCACTCTAATACCCTAGCTGTGCATGGAGCAGCTCTCGTGCTGGTGGAGCCCCAGTGTTCTGGGTAGATCAGTACTGGGCTTCTCTTGAAGTGGGAATTGCTAGTGCTCTGTTCTGGGGAGGTTTCAAAGGTAGATATCATATTCTGGGTTTCTAGGGAGCCAGGGCAGCTTGGATGGCAGCACTGGTTTCATGTTCCTGTTCCCTATTTATTAGTCTCATCTCCCTTGCGACCCAGCGACCTCTTTGGTGTCAGAAATGAGGCTCAGGTAAAGTCTCCTGAGTGCCAGGGAAATGGCATTAAATAAATAAAGAAATGGCTCTGAGGGAAGCAGCTGGTGCCACTTTCCTGCTGCCAAAAGGGATGCAGGATGTTCTGCTCTATTGGAGCCCTAGGAGTGGGCACTGGTGCCGAGGCAGCGTGGATGGCCCTGGCTGTTTGCAAATCACTCCTTCCCTGGATTTCCTTCCCTCCTGCTCAGCTGTCAAGGGAAAATGAGGGCAATTTGCCCGTGGCTGTAGGTGGCCCAGGCTCTGCTGTGGGTACCCCCTGGGTCCAAGGATACATCCATAGACAGCCAAAGGGGAACTGGCAGCTGGAGCGAGTGCTTTATTGACTGAAAGCTGCCTTGGGTGAGCCTGTGCTGGAAGCGTTCAGGAGGCAGATTTGTATAGAGCAAGGGCCAGAAATAGACTCCCAACTCAACTTCTAGATAAAACATGAATGTTTTGCTGGGGTTTTTTTTGGTTTCTTTTGTGTTGAAAAGGCTTTAAGTGCAGTCCCTAAAAGCCTCGTCTTTCAGTGGAGCTAATGGGGAGGCTGTGACTGCCCCGTGGCTCTCGTGGTGTCACTGTCACGTGCAGGGTCTGGTACTCTGCAGGGTGGCAGCAAACCATCACTGTGCCTTGCACTGCTGCCTGTTTGGGTCTCCCTTTTCCCATGGAGGGGCCTTGATGAAGCCATGTGTGGAGCTGGGAGGGACAGGTATTGAGCTGAATCCTGCGGGGATCTCTGCTGGTTAACCTGTGATGAGCAGCCATGAATATGGTGGTGGGGAAGGGGCAGGATTGTGACTGTTCCATCTTTGTTGTTTCCTAGTGGAAGAAGCACTGGTTTGTGCTGACTGACCAGAGCCTGAGATACTACCGGGATTCAGTGGCAGAGGAGGTAAGTGTCTCCTGTCAGTGCCCCATTACAGGGCAGCTCCTGGTGCTCCCAAACGGACCCTGGGCAGGTCCCTGCCTCCCTCAGTGCCCCCATTCCCAGATGCCGAAATCCTGCAATCCCTTCAGGGCATTTTGCTTCTCAAGGACCTGCTGTGCCTCCTTGTGAGCCCACCATGCTTTGGGGCTGCAAAGCTTTGTGGCTTATTTTACCTTTCCTCTCTGCAGGCAGCTGACCTGGATGGAGAAATCGATTTATCCACGTGTTATGATGTCACTGAGTACCCAGTTCAGCGGAACTACGGCTTCCAGATCCATGTAAGGACACCATGGGGAGGAGGAAGAGTCCAGCTGCAGGACAGCTGATGGGGATGCTTGTCTGTGACAAGGGGAACATCTCCCCAGACACCCAAGAGAGGCCACTCAGCATCCCCCTGCCGTGCTCCAGAGAGCTGTGCCTTTGAGTTTGAGAGCCAGTTCACTGCCTGTGGGAAGGGAAGGGAGAAAGAGAAGGTTTTGTCACAGCCTTAGGGGCTCACCTATGGCAGAATCAGCCTGATTGCTGAGAAATGCTAATTCCCTCTGGGTGTGTGCGGTGGGACAGAGGGGTTTGACCTCTGTGTGGCCAGCAAGCAGTGCCCCAGCACTGGGGTCTTGGGGAGTTGGGAAGCTCCTGGTGGGTGCAGTCACCTGCTCTGAGCTGTTCTTTCTCTCCCTATAGACAAAGGAAGGGGAGTTCACCCTCTCTGCCATGACATCGGGCATCCGCCGCAACTGGATCCAGACCATCATGAAACACGTTCGCCCCACCACTGCTCCTGATGTAACAAGGTAAGGGGGGGCTGCAGCAGCCCCTGCAGCTGTGTGGTTTGCTGTGCAAGAGTAACTCGTCCTTCATCCCTTTTCTTTCCTCTTTCTGAGCCTGTCTGTTCCTGGAAGCTGCAGCTCTTTCTCACCTCTCTCTGAGCTTAATTTGGATACACTTTGTGGGGACGTTGATATGCCGAGTTCTTCTTACACGTGCAGATTTCAAGGAGGGTTGAAAATGTGGTTTTAATTTGTGCATAGGAATATGAAATACTGTTCCTATATCAAGGCTCCTCTGGATTCCCACCAGGTATTGTGAAACCACTTGGATTCAGCTCTGCTGGGTTCACCCTTTCCTCTGGCTACTGTTCAGCACGAGCTGCCCAGCCCCTCTATGGGTCACAGCAGCAGCAGCCCAGGGTTCAGTTTAGAAACTGTTTGGCTCTGATCTATTTTAAACTCCAGCCAGGAAATCGTCTTCCCTTCTCTTCTGATCTTCCAGAAAGCTGCTGCAGCTCGTCCCCCTTAAGCTGTAGTAATGCTGGTGTCTCGTCCTGCGTCGGTGCCAGAGGAAGGGGACCTCGTGTGTCACAGAGTACCTTCTGTGGGCACTTCTGGCTGTGTGTACAGGGTGTTTGGCCTCCTCACAGCTGTGTGTGCTGGCCACACTCATACAGGCCACCTCTTACAGGCTGCGTGGACACGGCTGCACCACTAACTCTGTCTCCTGTCCTTACTGTAGCTGCAGCCAGCAGGTTTTTGCCAGGTTAGTCCCTGGTGTTGATGGAATGGCTCTTCTCACCCAGTGCTGTTGACCTGGAGATGCTCCAGCCTCTCCTTCTCCGTCCTGCTTAGCCCTCAGCCAGTGTTTTCCCAGGCCTGCTCGAGCTCTGATGGATCTCACAGGGGTCTCGGGGAAGCCACCTCTCTCCTCACTCCTGTATATGTTTGATTTCCATGCAATCCCAGGAAAAACTTCTCTTTGAAACTATCCGTGCTGAAGCCCAGGTTGGAAAACTGTGTTCTCTCCTGTATTAACGTTCTGTGGTTTGTATATCTCGTGATTCACTGCATGCTCCTCCTTTTCTGCACCTCGGATGGGAAGTCCTGCAGTTTCCATTTATTTTTCTTTCTTTTCTTCCCCCCTTCCTTTCTTTTTTTTTTTTTTTTCCTTTAAATAAAAGCCAGAGAGAAGGGAAGAAGCAACTTGGTCTTGACCCTTGATTTCCCCACACTGGTATCTTCCGATGTGACTAGATACGAAGATGAAGACCAAGGAAATTTGAGGGGACCTCTCTGCCTTTAAAGAGCCAGATGTATTTATGGTTGCTCACAGGTTACTGCAGCACGATGTGCTCACTGTCTGCATCTGCTCTGAGCCCACACAAAGTGGTTTCACTTGGCTTTCCCTCTGAGAGGGTCCAGGCACAGGTCCTGGTTGGGCAGTAACTTGTTACACTGCACAAACAGACTGAAGCCATCCTGAGCTGGGAGAAGGGAATGATGTGTGTGCTTCTGTCGTTTCCCACCCTGCTGGTGTTGGATGGGGTAGGGCTGGTGTGGGTTAGTCACATTGCTGAGGAGTCCTGTGCTGTGTGTGCAGCAGGGCTGTGTTCACTGGTGCCTGCCTGGCAGCCCTTGGCAGCAGTGTGGGGTATCCCAGCCCATCCCACCTGGCTTTGGGATGTCTTTGCATTCTACACCCGGGAAGCAGTGGGTGCAGGGGGCTGCTGGAAGGACAAACTGCTCAAGGCTCAGCTTGGAGGGGTGCCAGGCGTTGGCACGGTGTGGCTGTGTGCTGGGAGTTGTGCTCGGTGTGCTGGGAGGGCAGTGGTGGTCACCCACCCCACACACTCCTGCAGCCCTTGGCCCTGTCTCATTAACCCAGCCAAACACTCCTTGTCTTGGTTTCCTGAGCCCTAATGATGGTTTACATTGCTGCATGTGTCAGCACCCGGCATGGGGAGCAGATGCTGCACTGCTCCCTGCCCTCAGCAGTGCCCTGCAATCTGCAGAGGTACTAATTACAGTCTGCTAATGGTGATGGGGCAAATAGGAAATACCCCCCTGAACGAAAGTGGCTGCTTGAGAACTGGATCCATGTTGAGCTCACAGCCCTTGTGAGGCTGGGTTCCCCCGTGCTCCCCAGTTCCTGCAACCTTTGTGCGCTTCTTGCCACGGCGTGCTCGGCTTGCACCACTCCCACACCCACCCCTATTCAAAAAAGCCTTTTTATTTTGACCTATAAACACCATTGGAGACAAAGACCACTCCCTTCCTGTGTGATACGAATTAATTTCTATGTGGTGGAGGAGATGTGAAATGGTTGAGCAGAGTTAATAGCCATGGGGCACTTGCAGAGGATGAAATGAGAAACTTTGGGTCAACCTTCTGAGTGTCTTCACTTCGTTCCCAGCAGCCGTCCCTCTGCTCCCTGACCCACATCCCATGCCCTTTGGAAAGCAGCAGAGGAGAAATGAACTCCTGAGAGACGTCATCTCTAGAAATGCCAAGATTCTTCCACGTGGGATTTAGAGCAGCAAAATTTCTGTGTCCCAACACCATATGGCAGGCCTCGGGACCCCCATATCTTTCCTAACACTCTTCTCCATTTTAAGACTGAATCTCATCCCTGCTTTACTTTAAAATGCAGCTGTAATCACTAACTGACTCCAGATTGAGAGCCTGGCTTTGGAATTGTGCAGTATCATGGGTGAGGAGCAGTGACATTTCATCGTGGTGCCTTCTGGGTTTATTTTATTAGCTGCAAGTGACAGCACTGAAGAGGGAATTATCTCTGAGCTGGTTTTAGCCTGTAACTACCAGAGTATCTCAAAACCCAGCTCTACTGAGGCTGTGGTTTGCTGCTGGATGACAGTGCATCGGAAGATACTAGCCCACACAGAGCCATCTCTTCTGCTCCATCCTTTGTTTTGGGTGTATGCACATCCGTGAGGTTCTTGGCTGGGGGCTGGGGTGTGTTTCTGAGGTGGGAGAAGCTGTGATGCTGCTGTTGCTGCTGCTGCTGCTGTTCCTGATCACTGCAGTCCCCATGCATGTGGTCCCATGGGTCAGAGCCTGTAGTGAAGGGTCCAGTGATCTCCTTTTCGGATCTTGCAGCAAGCTTGCTGAGTCCCTGCTGGAGGCTGGGGATGCTGTGGTTGTATTGGAAGCTGGGAGAGCCAGGAGTCAGCCTGAGCAGCAGGACTGTGCCTATGGGAGGAAGCTTTTGGAGCTTTGGGTAGCAAAGAGATTTCAGGAAGTGCCCACTGCTCCCTTGGGACAGGCTTCCTCCACAGACTTAGCATACTGCTGTTTTCTGGTTTAATTTTGTTCTGCATGTTACAGGGCTGGCATGTCTGTATTTAATAAGCTAATACTGCATCATGGATTATCTGTAGGTTAAAAATGGTATTGCCTTCCCATATGAACTTCCCCTGCTTGATAAGTATGTCTCCCTCCTCAACCCACCACCCTCTAACTCAGCACTAAAAATCATTCCTTGCTTGAGAAATTGGCATTTTCAGTGATTTCTGTGATGTGTTGAGTAACGCGCTCTCCTTGCTGCACTCACCCCTGCCCGTGCCAGGGGGCTGCCCAGTGCCAAGGGGGCTGCCCATGCTGCCTGCTGGGCTGGGTGCCCTGGGGAGATCTGTGCCTTCAGTGCAGATAGTGGCACAGAGAAGTTATGGACTCGTTCATTTCCAAGCTGAAGGGGAGCCTTACCCTTGTTTCCCAGGACTCTCAGAGCTGCTCTGTGCTTCTCCACCCCACAGCTCTGAAGCCAGCCTGGCTTTGGTGGGATTGGTGGCATCTTTCCCACAAGCACGTGACTGTGGCCATGCCAGTGGGGGTGTGCATGGAGCCCCACAGCCGGGGGGCTGGAGGAGCTGTTGGAACCTCTGACAGCACAGTTTGGGGTCGCTGCCTCAGCCATGGGTTGCTGCTTGGTCATGGTCACTGGCCCCAGTGTGGCTGCCAAGAGGAACAAGGTTGGGATCAGCTGCTTTCCCGGGTGCCAAGGTGTCCCAGGAGCAGCCAAGCTTGCACCAAGGCTTTGCACACCAGCATAACCTGGGGAAGGGCAGCAAGAGCTCCTGCACCGGAGGGGAGATGGAGGGGCAGGGGGCACCCACATGGCATTGGCTTGGGCTTCCAGCAGCCCTTTTCCACCCGGCTCTTGGAGGCATGCATGGGAGTGCTGGCTGTCTCCAGCACCCACTGACACCTTCCTTCACCCTCTCTCTGTCCTCACAGCTCACTGCCGGAAGAAAAAAGCAAAACAAGCTCTTCCTTCGAGACCGGTCCAAAGCCGAGCGAGAAGCCGGATGCGGAACAAGCCGAGCTGGACACGGAGCAGAAGCGGAGCCGTGCCCGCGAGCGCCGACGAGAAGGACGGTCCAAGACCTTTGACTGGGCTGAATTTCGCCCCATCCAGCAGGCCCTGGTGCAGGAGCGAGCCAACGCTGCAGACTCCTCCAGTAGCGGCTCGGCCGCCTTCCCCAGGGACAGCGGAGCCGCCGACGCCGACCCGGGAGAGCTGGAGCGGGAGCGAGCCCGGCGGCGGGAGGAGAGACGCAAACGCTTCGAGATGATCGATGCCGTGGACGGGGCAGGGTCAGAAGAAGCTCTGAGGATGGAGGTGGACAGGATCCTGCCTGTCCCAGCAGACATCAAACCGCAGAACGTCCACGTGGAGATCGAGCAGCGCTGGCACCAGGTGGAGACAACCCCCCTGCGGGAGGAGAAGCAGATCCCCATCACGCCCCTGCACCTCGCCCACGCCGAGGAGAGGGAAGAGGGGCTGGCAAAGCAGCACCTGACCACGCTGCTGGAGAAGGAGGTAAAGGGGTGTGTAGGTGCAGGATGCCTGCCAGAATGGCCTTCAGGCCACTGGGGTGACTGTGGGGAGCCTGAGATTGGCTTAAAAATAGCTGTAAATATTCCTCCTTCATAATTGCAACTAGTAGGGATGCTGTAGGTTCCTTGGGGAGGAGGCAGGGCACAGATCTGCATCCATTCCTTTTCAGTCACAACAGCAGCTTTCAAGTTTCCCACAACTGCAGAAAGGGCTGTTCTTATGGCCTGGCACTTCCTTAACCCTCTCAGCCAATGCAGCCTGATTTGTGATGGTTATAGCCAGCCTGTCTCTGATGAAGTACGTACAATTAAGGTGTATCAACCAGACTACAAATTCAAGCTCCTAATCCTCTGTGCCTCTGCAACTGTAGAGATTTGTGTCTGCAGTTATAAACTGCCTTGAGTTGCAGCGTACATCACAAAGGTTGCTTTTTGTGGAGCCTACATCAAATAGTCTTAAGATTTTTGGAAAAGAATGGAGGAGACTCAGCTCACTTGGAAGAGTTCCGTGAGTGGGATTAAAAAGGTTGTTGTGAGTTGGGATTAAGGTGTATTAGTGGGAATGAAAGGGGTAACCTTTTCTTATGGAAACTAGGAATATCACAGAGCTGAACTGGGCTGGGATTTGCCAGGGTCGTGCCTGGCATGAGCTGGTGCCGTTCGTCCTTTGCCGCAGTGAGCTTTACAAATTACACTGTTGCATAAATAAGTTCTTTCAGAGGGGAGGGATTTTCCTGGCAAAATGAAATCCGGGTCCCAGAGCAGAGCAGAGCAGCGCTGCCATCAAAAGCTCCGTTAATTCTGCTCTGTGTCCCCTCCGAGCCACTTGTTCCTTATGGCTGATCCCCTGCCCACTCCCTGGACGCTGTCTCTGTTCATGTCCCTCCAGCTGGAGCAGAAACAGAAGGAGGCCCTGGAGCTCCTGGAGCAGAATCGGCACCTGCAGGATCAGCTGAAAGTGGCTCTGGGCCGGGAGCAGAGCGCCCGGGAGGGCTACGTGTTGCAGGTAGGAGAGCAGGGAGGAGAGGGAGATCCATCTTCCCTGTGCCCGAGAGATCCCTGGTGGGCTTCTGTCTGCGGTGTTTGTGGGGACATCCTGGGTGACCACCACTGAGCTTCAAGAGATTTGACCTTCTTGCAAACATGGCTAAGTCTGTAGCAGTACCAGAGACATCTGCTCATGGAAACCTCTGATCTGGGATGGAATAGAAGGTAGCATTACCTGTTAGCGTTTCCAAGGGAAAAAAAACCAGAGCCAAACAGATGGGACCTCAGCAAAGTCCACCTCTGATCCCTCCCATACTGTTTTGCCTTTGCAACAGCTGTTTCCCCCCCTTCTGTGCCCCAGATACTCCCCTCAGGCAGTGGGGTGCACACAAGGCTTTCCAAGCATCCTGTAGCCCACCAGTTGCTCCTGGCTGGAGATTTTGTGTGCCCATTACATGGGCAAACACAGGACACTCAGATGTATTTCCCGGGCACATTCCCTCCAGCCAGAGTGGGATTTGCACTGGGATAACGTGTTGTCTGGGATCACTTTGGTGGTTTCTGCTGTCACAAGATTCCTCAGGAAAGCCTAGAAGTGAATTTTGGAGGATCTGGCAAAAGAGACAGAATGGTCTTTGGGGAAACATTTCCTCCCCTCGTCCAAACAAAGCAGGTTTTTCCCAGCCCTTCCTCTGGGAATATCCATGTCTGGAGGAAGTCGTGGCACCTGCAGGGCAGCTTCTGGCTGCTCTCCTGGGTCCATAGTCTTGTTCTGTGCAGGGGCAGCATTTTGACCTGCTCAAATCTACTTGACCAAACTGGCTGTGGATCAAAGTGGCCGTGCGTGGCTGCACGCTGTGTCCCATGGCAGCAAACCCAGTGTCGATGCCAAACCTTGCATCCTTATTTCTCACAGGAAAATTTTCCCTGAAGAAGTTGCACAGGCAGAGGAGCCAGCCCAGGGAGGGGGACATCTTGCCTTCCTTGCCCATGATCTCCCAGGAGGAGTAATTAATTCATTTCTGGAGTCTCTGAGCTGACACTGCCTGCTTGGAGGAGTTCCTTTTTCACTTGGCAAAGCTGGAAGAGTAACTAACTCCCACTTCCCTGGGGCAGAGGTGTCTGACCTCCCTTTGCCTGGAGCCTGGAAAAATCAGGAATGGGGTTAAAAGCTGGATGCTGAATCCATCATCAGATTGAAGTTGGCCACAGTGCCTCGATACGAGGAGGGGTGGCAGGAGGGGAAGCCTGCAGTGAGGCTGAGCTGCAGTGAGAAGTGACCCAAACTTGGACCTGGAAGTTGGAGAGGGATTTTTGGAAAGGTTGGAGGCTTTTGCCTGCTCCAGTCTAATTGTTCTGGGGATTTCCCTTGTGTTTCCTGGGAGCTAGAGGGATTAAAGTGCTATTGTAGAAGGGAGTAACCCCACCAAACCCTGCTGGGGTGGAGGGAGTGGAGCAACCGGGGGAATTCTGCAGCCCCAGACTTCAGACAAACATCACAGGATTTTCTTGGACAAACGCTCTGAATTTCATGTGCCTCCCCCCTGCACCCCCCTACCCACTTCCCCCATCATGCCTCATTTTCGGGAGGTTCCTGACCTGTCTCAGGGCTGATGGAGAACCCTGACTACGGCCAAACCCATCCATCCCTTCTGAGCTGCCTGGGAGGCACCAGCCCCTCCTTGGCAGCCTGACCAGCCCTGCACAGACCCCCAAGCACTGCCTGTTCCGTGAGGCAGTGCTCAGCCACCCCTCCAATGCATGTGCCACGCACTGAAGCCTCTCTGGCCTCGTGTAACCCCTCTCTTGCTCTGAGCTTCCTCGGGATGGGACACCCTAACCTTGATCCCTACTGGGAGAAACACCAGGAGCTCCTGCTCCTGGCAAATGGGCTGGAGACATCCCCAGCTCCAGCCACTGTGGGTGGGAGGGGGCACGCACTAACCTGTCCCGGGCGGATGTTCTTGCATGTTTTTGGTGTAAAGCATGAAATTTAACTTAACATAACTGAGTGTCACATCTGTGGGCTTTCCTTAATCAGCAACCAGAGTACAGCAAGGCAGGCCAAATTCCTAAGCTTAACGCTGTGCTTCTCTCGCCTCTTCCTGTCTGTGTATTTTTTTTAAGATACATAATTTCTGTCGCCTTTTGCATGACGCTTTCTGTGAGTTTTCTCTTTGCATGCTCCATTGCTTTGGTTTGAATCTCACAAAGGTTGGTTTCTTTCATTTTTACATTCTCATCACACCTTTTCCTTCCCTCCATTTGTCGGGCTTTTTATTTTGTCCTTTGTTGGTTTATTTCATTTTGCAGGTAGAGAAATTAGATCCTCCCTAGCCCTAAGCTTTAGCATAACAGCGTCTCTCTAATGCGATGAGCAGCCACTCAGTCCTGTTTGGCAGGCACAGAAATGACATCGCCACCACAATGGCTGGCCCGTCGCCCTGTGTTTGGGTGGGATGTGATGTCATTTGCTGTCACCTCACTTTCTGTTGTTGCTTTTGGTCGGTGGACTGTATTACCTGAACTGTGCACTTTTTGTTTCACAAGCAAACAAACAAACTCACTAAAAAAAAAGCAGTTCCTTTCTCCTCCACCTTGTTCCATCTCCTCCTCATCCTTGGCATTTTTCTTTTGTCTGTCTGTCTCCGTTTTACTGCTGGTGTTTCTTTTTCATTGTTTTTTTGATTCTGTTTGAGTTTGGGTTTGTTTTTTTTTTTTCATTTAGCCTGTTACTGTACAGCTGTTTTGATGTCGTGGTCAGTGTTTTCTGTTACTGGAAAGCAGTTGTCGCTCATTAAAAAAAAAAAAAAAAAGTTGGTTAAACAAACCAAATTGTGCCAAGAACAAATCATCCCAATTGGAGCAATGGGTAGCAGCCAAGTCGCTGCGAGGAGCTTTTCCATGGCCTGCCTGGCCAGAGGTGTGACACTCAGAAGGGAGAGCCAAGAGTGTTACTAATCTAGTATTTAATCAATTTTTTTAAGACCGAGGTGGCCGCCTCGCCATCAGGTGCCTGGCAGAGGCTCCACAAAGTCAACCAAGACCTCCAAAGCGAGCTGGAAGCCCAATGCCAGCGTCAAGAGGTGATCAATCAGCAGATTCAGTCGCTGAAGCGCAGCTACGCCGAGGCCAAGGACGTGATCCGGCACCACGAGGCCGAGATTCAGAGCCTGCAGGCGAGGCTCAGTAACGCGGCAGCCGAGCTCGCCATCAAGGAGCAGACCCTGGCCAAGCTCAAGAGCGACCTGAGGAGCGAGAAGGAGAAAGCCAAAGAGCAGCTGGAGGAGTGGCAGCACGGCGAGGCCGCGCTCAGCTCCCAGCTGAAGGCCAGCGAGCAGAAGCTGAAGAGCGCCGAGGCTCTGCTGCTGGAGAAGACCCAGGAGCTGCGGGACCTGGAGATGCAGCAGGCTCTGCAGAGGGACCACCAGAAGGAAGTGCAGCGGCTGCAGGACAGGATTGCAGACCTCAGCGGGCAGCTGAATGCCAGTGAGCAGGCTCGGGTCCTCATGGAGGAGAAGCTGCAGAAGAACTACGAGGCTTTGCTGGAGAGCTGCGAGAGGGAGAAGCAGGTTTTGATACGGAGCCTAAAGGAGGTGGAGGACAAGGCCAACGAGTACGAGAACCAGCTGCAGAACAGCGAGCAGCAAATGGAGATTCTGCAGAAGGAGAAGCTGAGCGCCAAGTTCGAAGGCAGCGAGCTCGTCCACCAGCTGGAGGAGCAGCTGGCCATGAAGGAGGCCAGCATCCAAAAACTTGCTGAGCACATCAAGGAGCTTGAAAGAGAGAGGGATCAGATCAAGTGCCGGTTCCACGAGCTCATGAATCAGGTGGCTGAGTCAGATAACGAAGTTGCAAAGCTGCAAGCAAAGTTGAAAATGGAAGAGACCAACTACCACAATCTGGAGCAGTCATTTGAGGAGGTGTCAGATCAGTTCCGGGGGGTGCAGGAGGTGCTGAAAGAAAAAGAAGAAGAGCTGAGACACGTTAAGGAAATGCACTTGAGAATTGTGGAGAAGAAAGATCAAGATCTCAGTGAGGCTTTGGTTAAAATGGTTGCTTTAGATAGCAGTTTAGAGGAGACTAAAGTAAAGCTAAAGGCCAAGGAGGAGGCTTTAAAGAAATTAGGTAGTGTGGGCGCAGGTCCATGTGCTGACGAGGCAGAAGACCTTGGCCCCAGTCTTGAGGCTGATGAAAGTCATCCACCCCAGCTGGGTCAGGCTCTGCAAACTCAGGAAGTCCTCCCAGCTCTGACTTGTGCACTGAAGGAGGAGGAGGATGAGGTTCTTGAGACCAGTCAGAGGCAGGTGGAGGAGTTTGGCTCCCCGTCTAAAGTTGTAGAGCTCCAGGACCAAGAGTTGGTTCAGAAAGCCTTAGCAAAGCCTGATGTAGGGATCATGGGGGCCAAGAGGCAAAGGATCCGTTTTTCAAGCATCCAGTGTCAAAAATACATCCATCCAGATGGATCAGAGAAAAACTGGACAAGCAGTACCTCTTCAGACACAAGCCAGGACAGATCTCTGTCTGAAGAAAGCATGTCCTCAGAGCCAGCTCTGGGTTACCCCTCATCGGGGACAAGCGATTCTGAGACTTATCTCTCCATCATCCATTCCCTGGAAACCAAACTGTATATTACAGAGGAAAAGCTCAAAGATGTGACAATGAAGCTTGAAAGCCAGCACGGCCATAACCAGGAGACACTCATCGCCCTCCACCATCAGTGGGCCAGCACGGAGTCCCAGCTGCGGGAACAGCTTCAGACCAGCCTGTCCCAAGTCAATGCTTTGATCTCACAGCTGGAGAGTGAGAGGCAGGAAAAGCTCAAGCTCATAGAAAGTCACGTCAGCGAGCTGGGAGGTTTCCAGATGAAAAACGATCAAGCGCTGACTTGCTTGGAGAAGTGCAGGGAGCAGCTGAGATCCTTGCCCAAATCAGACAAGGAAAAAGAGGGTGATTTGTTCCTTGTTACCCTGTCCAGCATGGAAACAACTTTGTCAAATGCAATCCAAGCCTTGAGCGGGGCTCCAGTGCCATCAGAGTATCAGCAGAGTGAAAGCCTCGCCACAGAGAGCCCCGCTCCAGAAGGAGGGGATTTGGGAGAAGAGGAGCACATCTCCAAGGAGCAGCAAGCAGATGTGTTTGACACTGGCCAGCTGAGGTGGCTTTCTGAGAGGGTGGCATTTGAAGCCTCTCTCATCAACCAAATAGCAGAGTCTTTGAAAAATGCGAGTTCTGAGATAGCCCAGCTTCTGAGAGAGATCCAGGGAACGGCCGAGGTGGTTTTGTTGGAGCCAGCAAGTGTTTCTCATACAGCCAATGATTTGGCCAGTGTCCTGTCTAAAAAGCTGCTGCTGGAAGGGGAGTTCTGGAGCCAGGTGGAGGAGCTGAGAGCACACTTGAGCACTAGAGAAGGAGAAGCTGAGGGTAAAGCAGAAACAAGTGTGGGCTTTTCCCCATGTTTTCTCAGTGCTGTAGCAGATGCTACGTTGATCAAGGCAGAACTTGGGTTTGTTGCAGAGAAAATGAGAGAATCTTTTCATCAGAGGTTAAAAACAATCGAAGAAGAGCTCCACAATACCAAAACAGCTCTCCAGCAGCACAAATGCATGTTGGAGGAGATCATCAAAGCGTACAGGACTCCTGAGTTTGACAGAGTTATGCACCAGATTTCTGAAGCACTTGAAATACAAAAAGATGCTTCGGAAAGAACCCAGATCTCTTGGGATGGGAGCCGTCTCCAAATGGTGCCATGCCAGGAATTAGCCAAGCTGGAGGAGACCGGCAGCGCACCAAACCGCAGTAGTGAAGCTCTTGTTTCCATTCAGGAAGATCTTGCCCAGCAACTAAAGGACAAATCCAATGTTCTAAAGGAGATATCTGTTGCCTTACTCTCTCTGCCTCCCGAGGAGGCCATGAGAGACTGTCAGAAGCTCCTGAAGATATCCCAGAGTCTTTCCTACCATTCGTGCATGGGAGACCTGGAGCGGTATTCGTCTTTGTTAGTCCACGATGCCATCGTTCAGGCTCAGGTTTGTTATGCCGCTTGCAAAGTCCGGCTGGAGCACGAGAGGGAGATGAAATCCTACAAGGAGTCCTTGCAGAGCATGGATGCCCTGTGCCAGGAGCGTGTGAAGACGGTGTCTCTGCTGCGGGACGAGTACGAGGAGCTGCTCAGGAAGCAGCAGGGCGAGTACAGCGAGGTGATCGCCGTGCTGGAGAGGGAGAACGCTGACCTCAAGGCAAAGGTGTCCCAGCTGGAGAACCAGCAGAGACTCTTGGAGGAGGAAGGGCATGAGCACAGCAAGAGCCTGAGCGAGCTGCAGGGGCGGTATGAGGAGGAGATCCGAAACGTGATCGAGCAGCTCAACAGGACTGAGGATGCCCTGAAGGCTGAGAGGATGGAGGGGCTCAGCCAGCTGGACGCCGTTGTCCGTGACAAGCAGAACATGGAGCAGTATCACCTGGAGCAGATGCAAACGCTGGAGGAAAAGTTCCAGGCCAAGATCAAAGAGCTGCAGGCCATCCACGGCGAGGAGCTGCAGGCGCTGCAGGAGCACTACAGCCAGAACCTGCAGCACCTGCAAGAGACCCTTGATGAGTACCACCCCGAGGCATCCCCCGCAGTGGCCCCAGGTGCTGGGGACACCTGGGTGGCCGGCGAGGCGGGTGGCACCGGGCAGGACCCCGGCAGCGACCCGGACTCCATGCACGGCCTGAGGGAACGCATCCAGGAGCTGGAGGCACAGATGAACGTCATGAGGGATGAGCTGGAGAACAAACATCTGGAGGGAAACGCTTCCACTTTGAGGGAAAAATACCAGAAAGACTTTGAAAACCTAAAGGTCTTGATATGTTTAACACTTTCTGCTTTCTGCTGCTGAGGGCATGTGCAGTCCCGAGGTTCGCTTGCTGAACCAAAGGGCATCCCCTAAAAGAGCCAGTGTGCTGAAACAAGCCCCAAAGTATTAGCCAGGACTCTGTAAAGCATGGTGTTGCCTTTTTCTCCATGCTGGGGTATTCTGAATGCATTGCTGAGGGCTTGGGAGGGTGGATTTCTGGAGATGGTCTTTGCATGGAGAGGGAGAGTCTCAAAGTAGCTCGATAACATCACGCTCTCCTTCAACATGAAGACCTCAGTCTTTCTCCTTGTACTCAACACATACATTTTGTTGGTAACTTCCCTTTAAAAGCATTCCTCAACTCTGTCTTTCCCAATCTGATCAAATCTCCAGTCTATCTCTGCTTCCTTCAGAAATGCAAGATGAAATGGAAACTTGATGCTCTCAAAATGTATGTTCCTAGGGAAAGTAGCTGCAAACAAATGCCAAATTCTGTAGCAAAGCAGAGCTCCTCTGCAGGACACTGCGAGGACCATGCTGGTGTTGGACACAGTAATTCTTTACACAACAAAGAGTGCACAGTTATGGAGCACCCAGGTGAGGTGCAAAGAAACGCACTAGCAATGAAATGCCACCATTCAAATTGCCCCACCAGTCAGACTGGCTGTAAAACTGGTTTGAGATCATCCAGCATCTAAAAAAAAATGGGTTTGGTGGTTTGCTTTTCCTGGGAGAGCATTCCCAGTTCAGAAGTGAGTTTAGGGTTGTAGAGGACTCTGGCAGTACCAAGGGAGGCTGCCAGGATGAACAGGAAGCCTAAAGGGCAGCGATGCAGAGGCTGTGGCAGTGAGGCTTTCACAGACCAGTTGCTCTTAAGAATTAGCAAAAATATGGGAGAGCTTGCTTCCAGACATAAGATCAGCAAACATTTGAGCTGGGGATGAAGTGTGGCTCAGCTGCAGCCAAAAGCTGGTTTTAGCCTGGGGAGAGCAGTAGTTTTGCTGAATCCCATTGGAATTAAGCAGTGGTGGTCAGAATGCCAACCAAGCAATTGGAAACCTGCTTAACTAGAGGCTTAAATGTGCTCCATTCTTCTCTTAAGAACCTGATGGAGAATGTAACATCAGTAGCACAAAAGTAACTCCTCAACCTGGAAGAAAGAAGGCTCCAGGAAGACCTTGGAGCCCTTTCCAGTGCCTAGAGGAGCTCCAAGAGAGCTGGAAGGGACTTTTGACAAAGGCATGAAGTGACAGGACAAGGGGGAATGTCCTTTAGATGAAGGAAGGTTTAATAATAGGAAGGAATTCTTTTCTTAGAGGATGGTGAGGCCATGGCACAGGTGGCCCCAAGAAGCTGTGGCTGTCCCTGGATCCCTGAAAGTGTCCAAGGCCAGGTTCAAGGTTTGGAGCAACTTGGGATAGTGGAAGGTGTCCCTGCCCATGGCAGGGAATAGAACAAGATGGACTTTAAGGTCCCTTCCTACCCGAATCGTTCTGTGATTCTTTGAGATACCGATCTGTATATGTGGATTTATGACAATGCATTTACAATACATGGAATAGTGAATCTACAGCCAGACCTGTGGCAGAGTATGCACCTTTTTCTTCCAAAATTGGAGGTGTTTCAGGAGTTGGATTTGATGATCTTTGTGGATCCCTTCCAACTCGGCATATTCCATCATTTTGGGTGTAATGAAGAATCCTGCAGGGCTGCTCTGTGCCACAGCCAAGTCCAAGCAGGTTCTGGCACTGAGTTAGGAGTTTCAAACAAACAAACAAACAAGGCTGGGAAAGTGAAGAATGCCTCAGGATTAAAAATTAAATGGGAGGGGAAAAAACCACTAAAGCTGAAAATTGGGAATGAGGATTAGGCATAGGTAACTGAGCATTAGCCAAGAAAGTGATACTGAGGGATGTCTGTTAGTGAGAGTCAGTGGTGTTGGACTGTCCTGAGCACTTTTGCTGCTGGAGGAGTGAATTTGTCTCTCTAAAATTTCCCATGGGGTCCCAGAGGTCACTAGGTGACAGTTGTCACTTTCCACAGAGAACACTGGTGTTAATCAAGGGGAGTTCAGCAGAAATCAGGGAATAAAGCCAGCCTGTGTCACTAAGGGGAAAAGCCCTGTACAGTGCTTGGCATCAGGCTTGTCCCAGGCTGCCTGATGGGGCTCAGCACCTTCTCCCCAGTGTGTGCCCCTTCTTCCCTCGTGGTTTGGGCCTGCCTGTGGCTTTGCTGGTCCTGTCCCTGTCCCACAGCTGTGTGTCCATCCAGGATCCCAATATGCTTGGGCTGACAGCTGAGCTGGGAACAGGCGTTGGCATTTGTCTGCTGCAAAGGCAGGAGTCCAGGCTCTGCCAGGGGCAGAAGGAGCAGGCAGGAATTTAGGACCTCACCCCTGGTGAATCCCAGCTCCCCAAATTGCTCCTCCTGTGTCCTGGCCTGAGTTCTTTCCTAGCAATTAAATTAGCAAGTAATTTTCCCTGCAGCATTTGTAGCAATACTCGGTTGGGAATTAAGATCCTGTTGCTGTCACGTCATCTTCCTTCCACAAAGAGGTTGAAGAAAACAGGCATTGAAAAGAGCAGAAGGGGCACAGAAGTTTTTTTTTGTTGCTTTTTTGACCTATATTTGCATTCCCCAACTGGGTCTGCCCCTGTGCATCCCTTTCCCTGGAGCTGTCAGGGATCGAGTGACTGCAGGACAAGCCCTGACCTTTGTGAGATCCATCCTGCCCCATGCCTGGGGAAGCAGAAGATCCCTGCTGCACCTGGGGAGCTGAGCTGCCTGCTGCTCTGTGGCTCCTGGTGGGCTCCCCACTGCCATGGCAGCAGCCCTGTGCTCCTGGGCCAACCCTTTCCCCTCGTCCCTTTGCAGGCAACATGTGAGAGGGGCTTTGCAGCCATGGAGGAGACGCACCAGAAGAAGATCGAGGACCTGCAGCGGCAGCACCAGCGGGAGCTGGAGAAGCTGCGGGAGGAGAAGGATCGCCTGCTGGCAGAGGAGACGGCTGCCACCATCTCAGGTGCCTGAGGATCCCCCGTGGTGGGGCAGCTCTGTGCTGATGGGGACACAGGGGTGGTGATGCACTGAGGAGCAGAGCAGGGGTGGGATGAAGGATGGGCGGGCTGCACAGGGAGATGGGAATGGGCTTGTGGGAAAAGTGTTTTAGGTGGAGGTCCTGATCATCCAGGTTTGGTGCCCATCTCCTGGGCCTTCTCCAGGCTTGCTACCCCTGTTTTTGGCTGTTACACAGTCTGATCTGTTTTCCATTCGAACTCTGAAAGGCATTAGTCATTCCTGTAGTTAAATTATCACCAATTTCACACTGAATTCATTCTTCAATGCCCCAAGGAATGTTAAAACACTGGAGTTCTGGGCTCTGCATTAGGAGTCCCACAGTCCAGGAAACAATGTGTGAAGTGGACAATCATTCAGACCGTTAACAAGCAGGATTTGCAGAAGCCCCTTTGCAGCTGGGGCACAGACTGAAGGGACCATGAAGCAATGGGAGATTTGCGGGGATGACTTTGGTTTTGTTCCTTTAAAAAATCGAACAAAAACTCAAAAACCCACCGGTGGGTGGAGGGTGCTGGGTGCTAACACTGAGCTGCCCCTCACAGCCATCGAAGCCATGAAGAATGCACACCGGGAGGAGCTGGAGCGGGAGCTGGAGAAGTCCCAGCGCTCCCAGATCAGCAGCGTCAACGCCGACATCGAGGCCCTCCGAAGGCAGTACCTGTAAGAACATCACTGTCCTCTGCTGCCATCTTGCAGGGAGATCATGTGTGGGGGACCCTTCTCTCTCCCATTTGATTCTGGCAATGAGTTCAGGGTTATTTCAGGGGCCTCTTCCCTTGGTCACAACCTAGCTGCATCCATCACAGACTCCTGGTTGCCCATAATCTTTCAGGCTCCAGATCAATGTTTCCACATTACTCAAAATAGCTGCTTTATGGTCCCCAGAAGTAGCAGATGAGCAGCCAGTGCTGCTTTTCATGCAGGTGCAGCAATGGGGTCATTCAAAAGATGAGGAGAAAGCTCTGAGCTTTCCATGGCAGTGCTGTCCTCCTGTGGGAACCGAGCAGGGCTGCCTGTCAGCTTTATCAACCTTGATACATCTGTCTGAGTTGGGGAGGTGTGCAAATACACCTGGTCCTGGGTGCCCAGAGCAAACTTAGAATCCTGGAATGGTTTGAGTTGGAAGGGACCTTAAAGCTCATCTCATTCCAGCCCCTTGCCATGGGTAGAGATCTCCTTCCAGAGATGGGGCAACCACAGCTTCTCTGGGCAACCTGTGCCATGGCCTCCCCACCCTCATAGGCAAGAATTTCTCATAGGTAGATTTTGATAGAGATCAGCTCAATTTTTGGAAAGCTGAGAAAGTTCTGCCACTTAACCTCTGAGAGAGCAACCTCCTGTCCCCTTTGGTGCCCAAGCATGGCTCTGCCAGGAGAGGGAAGAGTTGACTTGCTCTGGGCTTGAGTTTTTTTCCCAAAGGGAATATACAGTCCTCATCCTCGGTACTTAGCTCCCTGTTGGGTTATCCTGGGATGCTGAAGGGAAGATGGGCATGGGCATGTGTGTGTGTGGAGAGGGCACTACCCTCCTGTGTGTCCCACAGGGAGGAGCTGCAGTCGGTGCAGCGGGAGCTGGAGGTGCTTTCGGAGCAGTATTCCCAGAAGTGTTTGGAGAACGCCCACCTGGCGCAGGCGCTGGAGGCTGAGAGGCAGGCCCTCCGCCAGTGCCAGCGGGAGAACCAGGAGCTCAACGCCCACAACCAGGTGAGGGTCCCTGCCCTGGCGACTGTGAGCTCTGTGCTGAGCCATGGCCGTGCTCTCCCTTCCCACAACAGCTCTGCTGCTCTCCCCAGGAGCTGAATAACCGCCTGGCTGCGGAGATCACGCGACTGCGGACCCTGCTGACCGGGGAGGGCGGGGGAGAGGCTGCTGGGTCGCCTCTCACGCAGGGCAAGGACGCCTACGAGCTGGAGGTGAGTTCTGCAGGGATGCACGTGGGTGGGCACGAGTGCTGTGTACCCTGGAAGTGTGTCACAGCCTGGGAGTGTGTCACAGCCAGGACCTGTTGCAGCCATCCATCCCCCAGTCGGCTCTCCCAGCACTGTTATCATGGGCTGCATGAGGCCAGGAGATTCTAGAGTCCTGATCTTCTCACCACGTCAAGCCAGACACTCGCTCTTCCTTCTGCAGCCCCTGCTTGCCCCCGGGGTCCAATCCATGGAGAGCAGTGGGGACAGAAATTGGGGTGTGCAGGGAACACATCAGCACTGCAAGCTTGGGCAGGTTCCCAAGAGAACCAGGAGGAGTTTTCTTGTGAGAAGGAGAAGACAGAGGGACCAGAGCCTTTGTGGTGCTGGCACAGGCCGGAGTCTTCAGCTTGACTGCCACTGGTGTCACACTGTGTCTGCTCAGGTGCTCAGTTGCAAAGATGCTGTTTTTTGTTCCCACAGGTCCTGCTGCGGGTCAAAGAATCCGAAATTCAGTATCTGAAGCAGGAGATCAGCTCCCTCAAAGACGAGCTGCAGACAGCACTGAGGGTAATGCCAGGGGTGGTTCTGCAAATCCTCTTACTGTGCTCTGCTCCTGAGTGTCTGTGCTTAAATTTCAGCCCATTTACACCCAGATTTGAAACCATATTTAATTTTTCCCCTGAATGTAATTCAATACCCATTTTGGTGTCATCAGTAAAGCACTCCATGTATCAACTTAAGACTTGTCCCACAAAGGAGACAGTGTGGGAAAACATCCCTTTCAGCGTGATTTCCCCATTTACTGTCACATCAGATCAGATTTAAATGGCACAAACAATCAGTGTTAGAGATCTGCCCAGCCTCGCAGCAGTGGAACTGGTTTGCTCTGGACCAGCCAAAGCCGTTTCTGGGAATTCTGCTTGAATTCTGTGTCTTGGCTAAAACGAAAAGCCACAAACAAGCCTGTAGCTGAGGGGCTGCATGCACTAGCAGCACTGTGTGCTGGCCCTTGGCTCTCAGCTCTCCATTCCCACAGACCTGGATCGCTGTTGGAAGCAGCTCCCAGGGTGTGTGCTGCCCTGGCCAAGCCTCTCTCCCTCTGCCGTCTCTTCTTCCGCTGGCATTTGCCAAGCTCCTCTTCAGTGCATCCACAAACCCCTCGGCTCCAGCTGTCTGTCTGGCTCCATCGGGTTGTTCTTGTTCCCTTGCCAGGATAAGAAATACGCCAGCGACAAGTACAAAGACATCTACACGGAGCTGAGCATCGTGAAGGCCAAGGCAGACTGTGATATCAGCAGGTTGAAAGAGCAGCTGAAAGCAGCCACAGAAGCTCAGGGAGAGAAATCCCCTGTGAACACCACTGTATCGGGATATGGTCAGTCCTCCTCCAGCAGCTCTAAGTAGTCCTGGGTGTCCCGAGCTAACACGGAAATCCTGGAGTACAAACCCTTGTGCAGTAACGGGTCTGAGCGTAGGACTTTGCCTTCCAACCCAAAGCTGATGGGCTTTGAAAACCTTCTGGCATTTTCCTGATGATGCCCAAAAGCCCCCCTTGCCCTTGGGGCAGTGCTGAGTCAGGCTCATTGGGGCATTTTCCTGGGCTGGGAGGGCAGAGCCCCAGCCCTGTCCTTGCAGGAAGGCAGTGGGCACCAGGCTAATCCCACTTCTTTTGCTTCTTCCCAGATATTATGAAATCAAAAAGCAACCCTGATTTCTTGAAGAAAGACAGATCCAGTGTTAGCCGGCAACTAAGGAATATCAGGTCAAAGGTGAGCTCAGATGTCCTGCCCAGGGGGATGGCAATGAGGAATGCCCAGCATTTCTCTTAGGTGGGGGTCCCAAGTGGGAAGAAATGGGCAGGGGAACAAAATTAAGAATTTCCCAGCCACTAGTGGTAGCCTGGATGGTTTTTTACTGCAAAAGGACTGACTGTGCAGCCAGGCAGGGCCCACTCACCCACTCTGGACCCTGCTCAGATGGAGGCATGAAGCTGCTTCTTGGTTGGAAAAAAGGCTGAAGTTTGCCTTGTTCTTTGGTCTTTCACAGGAGGACTATCCCAGTATCTGCTTCTTCTTTTCAGTTGAAATATAGGTGGAAATGTGCACATCATTCTAGTTCTAGTGTTCGTCACTGCAAGATTTTTTGTCTTTATGTGTATCAGCAGTGCCTGAGTCCTGGGCATATTTAACACACGCTTTGCTTGTGTGTTAACATGGTGCAGATGGCCCTGTGCTTCTGTGGTCCTTCTGTGCTTGCTGTTGATCCCAAAGCCCAGTGATGCTGTGCCAAGCTCTCCTTGGCAGCCAGTTGCATCATGTGGGACCACAGGGATAAGGAAGGGCAAATAATGCTGATCAGGAGTCAGCATTAAACACAGGGCAGCTGGGAGGAAGCTCAGCATGAGCAAACCTGCTGTGCCTCTCACCTGGTGTCTCGTGCTGATGTTTGAAGTGGTTGGGCCCTTGCAGGGCAAGCAAAATACTTTGAGCTTGGTGCCCATGTGGGGAAACACTCAGAGCTCTGTGAGCAGCAGCTCCTCAGCTCGGGGCTGTACCATCCCCAGTGAACAGAGACTTCTGCACATTTTGGGGCATCACAGGCCTGCTGGGCCACTCTGATGTTGGGCTTCCCTTCACCACTTGAACTCAGATCACTTTCTGTGGTTCCCATGTGTGTTGCTTGGTGGGGAAGGAGAGGAGAAGAAGCTGGGGCTGTGCCAGGGCATCGCTGCGGGACGGGGGGCTGGGGCTGGCGCCAGCACAAATTCCTTTGGGATTTATGAGCTTCTTTTGTTTTTGTTTTTTGTTTTATTTTGCTTTTTCCTTCAACAGTCCGTTATTGAGCAGGTCTCATGGGATAACTGAAATGAACCCGAGTCCAGGTTCCCTGCCACGTAGGTAAACACAACCAGCGCCCGCCCAGCACCGCAGCCACCACGGGAACAGCCCAACCTCTGCATGCACTGCTCACACCTCCCTGCCAAACCAGAGCCCTCCGCCTCTCAATAACTGACTGGTTTATCCACTGCTAATTCTTCTCCTGGGCGAAGGGGAGGGGAGAAGTCAGTGTACCCAAGATCTGTGTGAAATGCAGTCTCTGCCTCTTCCTTGGGGAATATGGCTTTTTGTCTTCCTGCTCTTCCCACCCTCACCAACACAGCATCAGCACAGAGAGGATTTGGACATGGTGGGGCACGTTTTCCTGTTTACTGTGTTGGGAGCGTGGGACACTGAGTGTGCATGCCTGAATGACTCTGCATGCCTCAGACTAAACTCCAGCACCGTCCAGGTCTTGTAGGAAAACACCTGTTTTGTTGTTATCCAGGTGCAGGGATAGTCAGGGATGCCTTTAAGTGTACTTCCCATAACAGCCCGGAGCATGGAAATGGTCTCAGCCACATCAACTGCAGAGGGAATGTCCTGGACTGCCCCAATTTCCTTTACCCACAGTTGCTGCTTTTTCAGGTTGATCCATGCCTGAGCAAGTGTCTTTCTTGCTCAGTAATCTTCTCCTCCTGCTCTCCATCCCTAAGCCTCTAAGGCTTCCAAGCTCATCCAGCAAAAGGAGGAAGCTGAAAAGAATCAAGGCTGACTCTGATGAGCCAAATATCTCCATTAATGGGAGAAATAGTGAATTTCCTGGCCCATGGTAAAGGCTGAGGTAGGAGCAGCTGCAGAGGCAGGTTAGGAGAGGGAAGCTCCCAGCACAGTGGGTGGAGAGCCCCAGGAAGTCTGTTGGAAGATCTCTTTATCACAGATATCATCCTACATTAGTCTCACTTCATCAGGCTTTCCTCATCAGCAACTGAAATGGTTGTGGGACTGCCTAGGGGCTGAAATTGCTGGAATTTGTGCCATCAGGCAGAACAGTCTGATGATTCCTGGTGTCTCTTTTCCGTCCACTGAGAAATCAGATGCGAGAACTGGAATGCACGAGCTGCTCCCATTTAAAGAGGCCCAAAGTAAACTTCCTTTAGGAAGTGTGTGCACAGAGATTCTCATCCCAGGAGACTCTGCTGCCCACTGGAAAGACAGCACACAGCTTTTGGAAATTCAGTCCCATTTAATGCTTTCATTTCCATGCTGCCTGGCAAAGCCCTTCTGTGTTTGTGGGCCTGTGGGAGGAAAAACATTTCCAGAAATACAGTAACCATGGGAATCTGCATAGCCTTGGGGCAAGTTTATCATGGAGTCTTGCCTTGATAAATACATGGGAAGGAAAACTCAGCCCAAAAGTCCAACCTGCTGCTGTGATAGAACAGTCCTCTGGCACTACAGCCAGGGAAGCAAAATAAGAAGAGGAGGTGGCTGCCTGATAGTAGGATCATGGAATCACAGAATGGCTTGGGTTGGAAGGGATGAAATATCATTCAGTTCCAACCCCCTGCCATGGGCAGGGACACCTTCCACTATCCCAGGTTGCTCCAAGCCCCAGTGTCCAACCTGGCCTTGGACATTTCCAGGGATGCAGGGGCGGCCACAGCTTCTCTGGGCACCCTGTGCCAGGACCTCCCCACCCTCACAGGGAAGAATTTCTCCCCAGTATCCCATCTAACCCTGCCCTCTGGGAAGCCATTCCCTCTTGTCCTGTCACTGCAGGTTCTCATCCAGAGTCCCTCTCCAGCTCTCCTGGAGCCCCTTTAGCCCCTGGAAGGGGCCCTAAGGTCACCTTGAGCCTTCTCTTCTCCAGGCTGAGCAATCCCAATTCCCTCAGACTTTCCTCCTAGGAGATAATTTCCATCCCTCCAGTATGTGCCTTTGAAGGTGCCAAGTTTTGGTCTGTAAAGCAAATAATGTTCCAGCTGCAGCATGAATTCCTTGCAAGTTCCAAGGACTGGGCTGGCAGGCAGAGCTGTGGGGTGAGGGCAGGCAGTGGGGCACAGAGGGGCAGAGCCCTGGCTGTGGGGGCTGTTTTTAGGGATGGGAGGTGGTGAGACAACTCACCACCTAATACTTTGCTCTCCTCAATCTCTCGTGCCACAGGTTTGGGACTGCAGGAAGGAGGGTGCTGGCATTAGGCTGGTGCTTCCCCTCAGGCTGGTGTCAATTTAAAGCTGTCCTACAGCAGTCAAGCAATTTGTTTCTGGTTTTCTGCCCCTCTCAGTGCTGTTCTCCTGAGTCCCCATGTGTAGGTGATAGATTTTACAGCTCCAAATGCCAGGGGGCCGTTGGCCAACTGAGAGTTTTGCCTTAAAATCTGGTTGCTGCATCTGAATTGGATCTGCCATCAGAGCCTGCCAGACCTGAGCAGCATTTAGGAGTCCTCTGTCTAACCCTGGGCTGTCGAGGCATCTTTGGCTTGGGAGAGTCCCAGGATGGGTGAGAGGAGTGGGATGGTCACTGGCAGCACACAGCAGTTTCCAGGGTTTGTTGAGCAAATCCTGCACAGCCAGGACTGTCCCTGTGGGTGCTGCAGTGGTGTGGGAGGCAGGGAAGCACCAGCCTGCAGGTCCTGCTCAGCATCCTGAGGCTTCAGCATAGCAGATCCCAGCTGGCCTTCCTGGGGCTGCCCCCGCTGGAATTGCCCCATCCAGCAGTGTCCTGTGAGCTCTGGGAGTCATTCCCAAGTCAGCTAATCCCGCTTGCAGCATGATGTGCCTCTCATTCGCTTCTGGTTCGTCGCCTGGTTCGTTTGCAATCTCACCCTGTCTCAAGGCACCACCCGCCAGTAACCGCCCTCCATAACCGTGTGTTCTCTCTCAGCATGTCCCACTAATCCTCCCTCTGCCCAGGAGCCCATTCCTCTGCCTGAGCACCGCTCCCTCCCCGTGCCCCAACGCTCTCTGTCTTCTGTCTCTCCCAGAGTCTGAAGGAAGGCCTGACTGTGCAAGAACGCCTGAAGCTTTTTGAATCCAGGGACTTGAAGAAAGACTAGTTCTCCCCGCTCCGCTTGACCACGCGCACCTCCCAGCTTGAGGCAGCACAGCACCAGCACCGTTTGTCTCTCGTTCCTTACGATGTCCTTGCTGTCGTTCGTCCTGATGCCCCGATGGGACCCGGCACCACCGTGGTGGCAGTGCCCCCCCCTCGCCTCCCCAGCTCCTTTCCCTGCTTGTGAGATGATCCAGAGACTCGGAGAGGGAGAGGAAGGGATTGGAGTGGGGTTTTTTCCCCCCTCTCTTTGGCGCTTTGTAGGAGAATCCTTTCTTTACTGTAAACCATTACACTAAGTGTCAGTATTAAGGCTCAGTAGCCTGTTAATAAGCTATAGCTCTGTCGGGAAGAGCGAGCAGGGCCTGGGTGGTGTCAGCCAGACCGAGCTCTTACTGCTGTCTAGAGACCCCGTGCTCAGAGCACACCAGGAGCCTGATCTAACCATTGATCTCGACTGCATTACTTGCACCTACAAGGGGGGAAAGGCGGGGGAAGCTGTCCGGGAGCGCGAGTCCGTGCAGCCTGGAGGTACAACACTGACATCTCGCTGGAGAAGGATGCAAGAAGTGATTCTCCTGCCCCGTGACTGTGCTGTATCCTGAATGTAGGTGCCACCGAAGCCTGGCAAGCTTTGGTGGCTGCCCAGGTGGTTTTGGATGGGGAGCTGCAGCTACTGAAGTGCACCATCGAGTCGGCCCCGTCGGCGCGTCCTCGCTCCCGTGTCGCTGCTGGTCGGAGTTGGTGTTCCAGGGGCCGAGCTGTAAGATCACTTTCTTGCCTCTGTTAGATCAGCCCAGCACTCTCTCTTTTTTTTTTTTTTTTTGGTTTTTTTTTTTTGCTGTTACTCCCTTCCTCTCATTGAATCGTGTATCCCAGGGTCTGTGCGCATGTGAAACTCCCTTTTCCTAGTCAAAGGAAAGTAGAGTAGAAAGTAGAGCCAATATTGACTGAAAATGCACAGTGCTCAATGCATATAATGCTCCTTTTTTACCAGCTTCTTCAATTCAACTCTTGTCAGCAGGGCAGCTCCTATTTTAATTCTTTAATCTTTTCCTGAAATAAAAATCTCAAAACCAGTATGTGCTTCAGACCTTCTCAGTCCTAATAGCTTTTGTGTTTAAAATACATAGTTGAGCACCGTGAGGCAGATAAATGCATACAAACCAAGGGATGAGGAGCTGGTAGCACTAGATGGTCACAGCCAGCTGAGCAGAGGCTTCTTGGAAGAAGCCTGTGCTGTTTTGCAGGTATGGGGCTTCATCCCAGGATGAATCTTAAGGTGCCACCTGGAAGGAGCCCAGGTCCCGCCTCTCTGGTCACCAGGGCTGAAGGAAACTCCAGCACATTGGCTTCCCAGCCTGGTTAGGTGCTGAGTGACCACTTCAGGCTGCAATGTGGAAGATACCCTGGCCTTCACCCGGAGCAGAGCTTCCTCTTGTCCTTCAGGCACCCAGCCAAGGTTGAGGCCAGCAGCTCCCGGTGCTTCCCTGCTGGTTTTGGCTCTGGTGGTTGGTACAGGCAGAGCTCTCAGCCCCATGGGGCTGCTGAAGCCACCCCCAGTCCTGCCAGGATGGACCACAGCACCTAGCAGAGTTACCTTCATCCTCCTGGGAGCAGAATCTCTTTTCTAGCCACCAGACCCTCAGCAGGACACGGTGTCACTGAACCACGGTGAGAATCGAGCTCTTGTCCAGCTTGTGTGGCCTTGCCATGGCCAAATGTCCAGCTTGGCACCTCACAGCAGGGCTTGGCAGCTGGTCCTGCCCAGAGGAGCCCTGCTTGCACCTTGCAGGGACAGAGTACCTGCTCCTGCTGGGATGCTCTGTGTGCCTGGGTGTACATAGAGGTCCTGGAGATGGGAGCAGGGAAGGAAAGATGCTCAAGCTGTCAGATACAAAACCTTGTCCTTGCCAGCAGCACGTGCCCTCAGATGTGTGGATGTGCAGCCACAATCCGAGTTGACCACAGCACTTCCATGATCTGGGCACTGGAGAACCTGGGAACCTTCCTACCATGACCCACCTGGATCACCTCACCTCTCCCTCCCTGGCTGCTCCGGGTCTGTGGTGAGCTGTGATCTCCTGGCAGAGGCCATGGGAGGCAGCATGGATTTGGGATGGCACGTGGACCTTGTCATTGCTCTTCCCTTGCAAGATGTCACTGGCTCTAGGAGAGCACCCTCCTCCTCCTCCTCTTCTTTTTCAACTTAGGATGGGACTTTGTCCTTTTTAACCAACCAAGCAGAACGTTCTGGTCTCCTTCTTGCAATGTGGACCCTGACCTTTCTTAATTCCCCAGCAAATCCTGCTCATGTGCTCTAGCTTGTAGGAGCAGATGTTTTCCATTGGAGAGTTGGGCTCCTCTGGAAAAATAAATGGAGAGTCTTGATCTGCTGTACAGACAGGGCTGAGCAGTGGCCTGGACATCTCCAGGATCAGCTGCACCCTCCAGGGCAGTGCTTGGGAAGGATGTTTGGGCTGTGTTTAGGGTGGGAACTGTGAATTCTGGGGGTCACTGAGAGGAAGAGGAGGAGGGAAGGTGCCTTATGCAGCCAAATGTTCTGAACCCCTGCTGAGGGTTCTGGGCTCACTCTGGTCAGTCTGAGCATCTCTCCAAGGCAAGGGGCAGCACTTTACCTGCCTTTATAGTAAAGAAAAAGAACCTGCAGCACCAACAAACAGCCCCAAACTGAAATATTCTGCAGAGCCCACTACTTGAAAATAAAGGGAGAAGTTTTTTACTCAGCAATGATCCTCAGTTATCCTTCTCCTTCTTCCTGCTCCAGGCTTCATCCACCTTTTGGGATTAATCAGTGGCTATTTAAATTAGAAAGTGTGTGGGCAAGCTGCTGCATTCTGCATCACTCCACATTATTGATAGCACCAAAAAGGGAGGTTTAGGAAAAGTCAAGTGCAGTGAAGGCACGAGTGTCTCCTCGTCGGCTCCAAGTAATCTTATTTTTCCTGAGTAACATTTTTCTCCCATTTGCACCATCTCCCCTGAGCCAGACTGAATCCTCCTTTAAATGTCACCTTTTCTTTGCCCATGTATTAAAAAAGAAGCAAACTGTGTTCATTTGCTTCAAAAATAGAATTGCTTAGAATTGGTGCTAACTTGCCAACCAGAAAATTCCCTCTTTTTTGGTACCAGAGAACTGGGCTGCAGTAAAAATGCTCACATTGCAAAATATGTCACTTTTGTACCTACTCTATTTGATGGCACTTCCACAAGACCTTTGCATATTTGTCCTGGTTTGGATACTCAGTTTGTTGTGGACACTCAAGCACACACACACTCGCTGTGGTTTGCCTTTGCTCTGTATTTTTTTCCATTTTTTTTAGGTAAGAAAAAGCTTTCTTATTCTTCTCTTTTTTAAAAACAAAGTAATTTAATACCTGTATAGTATTCCAAGCGTGCAGTGTAAATATTTATTCCTCAGCAATTTGCAGAGGGTTCTCTTTTGTGACTGAGTTGTGGGTTTGATTTTTAAGTTGTCTTGTGGCACCGAGGCCCCACGTGTCGGTTGGGAGAGGAGAAACGAGTGTAAAATGTCCAACCCACCCCATCTGCCCTGATAAACTGCTTTTTTGGTGGGTTGAGGATTGTTTTAAATACCTTTTTGAAGCTTTTCTGCTGATCTATGCCTTTAGCACAGGAAGGTGCCTGTCCAAAGATTGTGTACAGTCCGTTTGACCACTGTAACCTACTTTGCTGTAAATTTGGGGTAATTTTTGCCAGTCAGAGGACTCAATAATCTTGTGTTTGATAGTAGCATCAATGCTGTGCATGTGCAAACTGTGTCCTGTTGTTCGAGAGAGCAGCAACAACTCCCTGCCAAGCCCAGCTCTCCTTGCACAGCCACCTGGGGCTGGTGCAGTGAGCACAGCGAGCCCCCGGATTTGGGAAGCACCAAGAACACTTTAGGGATGCTCTTGGGCTTCCCGAGGGAGCCACAGCCTCCCCTGCACAGACACCCATCCCACAGCAGCTGTAACTCACTGTGGAACTTCAAATGCAGTGGAACTACGAGAGGAAGATCTCAGGCACTGCTGCAGACAGGGAGCACCAGGCTGGGAACAAGAACCTCAGTGTGAGGCTGCTGAGGAAACAGAGGGTGTGGGATTTACTGGAGTAACCTGACAAGTTGGTACTAGCTCGACTAACCCAGCTGGCCTGAACTCGTAAATAATGGGTGCAATTAGCATTATTTTCTTCGTGCTTTCTTCGTCCTGTGTGCAGGACAAGAACTCTCACTGCTTGTTCTCACCTAGAGAAAGCAAAGCATGTAAAATACTGGAGACTGTGGTAAGTAGGAAGCAGGAATGCTCCAGCTTGGCCCCTGTCCACCTTCCTGGAGTTCTGGATGACTTGAGAGTTTAAAGAATCGTTTGGCAGGATGGAGGTGTGGGGAGAGGGAAGGAAGCTCTGTGAGGCTGTGGGTGGTGTGTGATGTGGCAGTTCAGGTGTTAATGGCCAGTCTTCCTCCAGTGCCCTTGGAGCAGCTTGGCCTTGGCTCTCTGGGCAGAGCTTCACCCGACTGACCAGGGATGGGGATTCGTTCTGGGTCACATCTGGGCACTGCCATGTGTGCCTGGGAACAGCCCAGGGGCACTGTGAGCACTGAGGGTGAGGGAGTCATTGCCCAGAGTGGTTTCTGTGATGATGTGAGAGCAGCCAGTCCTCAGCTCCCCTGGCCGAGCACCATCAGAGCAGGGCCAGTGGGACTGGGCAGCACGGGGATGCTGCAGCCTCACACACATCATTTTTTTTTTCCCCCTGCAAAGGGGAAAGGTGTGGAAGGCTCCTGTTTCTCCATGTGTGTGAGTTCCTGTCTCCTTCCCTACTCCCTTCCACTCCCAGTTTATTCCAGTGCTTTTTTAAGAGGCACCGTTCCTGATCATCTGCTCGCTGTGATAGAAATGTCACTTTTCTCACTGTATTTATTCCTTACAAACTTTGTGTGACATGCTAGGCTCCCCTGGATGTAGGTGATCATTTTTACTTTGTAAATATAATTACCTAACTTTACATTAACTATATGGTAATAAACTATTTTTGCACCACCCTTTGCATGCCGTGTGTGACAGGTTTATTTCTAAAAAGAAAGAAGAACAGGGCAGAGGTCAGAGCATGAACAAGGAGATGTTTGTTTTTATAGTTGCACTTCACTAAGGAAATGCAACAGGCAGCATTTTGACAGCAATAATATATTTTAAGTAGTTTAAATCTAGTGCTGCTGAATGGGATTTACTGAAGAAAGATCTTCAGGTAACATAATTTTCTTTTCCCCATGCAAACTTTCTCAGAACAGAACAAATCTAAAATCTGGGCATGTCCATGTATCATAAATATCTTAATAAGGATCTACAGGAACTGGAATGCAAAAGTCAGATGAGGCTGTTACTGTTTTCTGTGAAAATGGTTTATTTAACAGTGCCAATCACAGCACTACTGGTAACAAAACTGGTAAGAGAATATCAAAGCCTCTTTCCATTTTGAGAGATATTAAGGCACTTTCTATTGAGTATAAAACAGTTCTTAGATAGACACTGTTTAGAATTTGTAATTCTTAGGTTTACATCATTGTTTCACACTGAGCTTTGGGGACAGAGATGTCACCTCCCTCCCCTCGCTGGTTGGTGCTGCCAGGAGAGGGCACAGACCATGCCATGGTGTCCCAACACCTGAAAAAAACAGGGTTTCCAGACCTCACCTGAAGTGGGTGACCCAATTCCAGCCATGTCTGCTCTCCAGATAAACACTGATCCCAAAGAACCATTTCTCTCATTCCCTTCCAGACTTCCCTACACTTCCTTGCTGGAAGAAAAGCTGTCATTACCATCTGTGCTCATGCTTTTACACTAGGGCTCTGCTAACCTTTAACCAAAAGAAACATGAACACAATCAAAACTTAAATTTTTTTGCTACTTCCCAAGAATTTCCTTTTACCAACTTTCAACAATTAATGCCAACAAGAAATGTAACCGAGGCACTCAATCTATAGAAACTCTTAACTGTGCTGTAGCCGTCTTATCTCTCCTTTAGTTACGGGTGTAGAGGAGCCCTTGGGCTACAGTTCCATTTGGAATTGGCTACAGTTCCGTTCCATATCCCGAGTTGGTTCCCTTTACCACTGAAACACATGCTCAGCTGCTCAGCACTGTATGAACACACCTGGTGGGCACCAGGGCACAAAGCCTGCCCAAAGTCTTAATGCCTTTGGAATGGAGCTCTGTCACCCTCACGACCAAACAGTTGTGTCATTCCTGCTAGCACGGGAATGATCACAGCAAGGGATCTGTGGCATTTTAGGGCAGAGAACACTTCACTCCTCTAGAAACATTTACCAGAGTTACACCCAGATGGACGAAACGGTGATGTTTATACATAAGAATAAAACCTGTGGGTGTTACCATGCTCCACTAGCCCTGTGAGACAGCTCAGTCATTTACTGCCTTTCGGAAAAAAAACTGTAATTGGCAGGATTGTACTCTTCCCAAATCCTTTCAAACTCATCCTGAAAAGCCTTCACATAATCGGCGTCCTCCACGACCAGCACATTCTCCCGGTTGCTCTGGATGGCCTGGGTGGTCCAGTTGAGGGAGCCTGTGATGAGCATCCTCCGGTCCACGATGGCGAATTTGTGGTGCATGTACCCGCTGTGCTGGTCGTGGCGCACCTGGATCCCTGCAGAGACACAGACACTGCTCAGGGCTCACTGCTCAGGGCTCACTGCTCAGGGCTCACTGCTCAGGGGTGCCCGCAGTGGCCTCGGGGCTCCGGTCCCTGCCGGTCCCGCTGCTCACCCGCGTGGCGCAGGCGGCCGATCTGGGAGCCGTGCAGCCCCATGTACTGCGCGTCCGTCACCAGGCGGACACGGACCCCGCGGCGGTGCAGGAGCTGCACGGCACGGGCGAGCTGAGGGGAGGAGAAGGAGAAGAGGCAGAGATCGAGCGAGCGGCGGGCGGAGAGGAGGCGGCGAACCAGGCGGCTCAGGGCGGTGTCGCCGCTGGGCAGCGGGCACGGGCAGGGCCGGGCGGGCGCTCCGGGCTCGGCCGCCTCGGCCAGCAGCGCCTCGATGCAGCAGGGCCGTGAGGGGAAGAACAGCACCTCCCGCACGGGCCGGGCTCGCCGCCAGGCCGCCACCGCCAGCGCCACCGCGGTCGCAGCCGCCGCCGCCGCCCCCGCCGCCCTCATGGCCCTCATGGCCCGGCCCGGCCCGCGCAGCCGCGGCGGAGGCGGGAGAGGCCTGTGGGGAGGGGCGGCCGCCAGCGGGGCTGGGCCGGGCTCCGAAATCCCGGCACCGACCCCTCCCCAGGTACCGGAACCCTGACAGCGAGTCCTTCGCCACGCACCGAGCCCATGCAGTGGATGCTGCAAATACGCAACACGTGCTTTAATCACGGAGTGGTTTGGGTGGGAAGGGATCGCAAAGATCATCCAGTTCCAGGGGTACGGGCAGGGCCGCCTTCCACTGCCCCAGGCTGCTCCAAGCTCCATCCAGCCTGGCCTTGGACACTTCCAGGGATCCAGGGGCAGCCACAGCTTCTCTGCCTGTTCCAGGGCCTCCCCACCCTCACAGGGAACAATTCCTTCTCAATATCCCATCTAACTCTGCCCTCTGGCAGTGGGAAGCCATCTCCTCTTGTCCTGTCACTCCAGGCCCTCATCCAGAGTCCCTCTCCAGCTCTCCTGGAGCCCCTTTAGGCTCTGGAAGGAGCTCTAAGGTCTCTCTGGGGCCTTCTCTTCTCCAGGCTGAGCCCCCCCAGCTCTCCCAGCCTGGCTCTAGAGCAGAGGGGCTTTAAGCTTTGGATTTTTGTGGATTTAATCTTTGTGGCCTCTGCACTGGCTCCAGCAGCCCCACATCCTTGTGATGTTGTGGGCCGCAGAGCTGGAGGCAGCTCTGCAGGTGGAGTCTCATGAGGACAGAAGAGAGGGGACCATCACCTGCTGGCCCCTGCCTGGCTGAGGGGACAGGGGTGGCAGAACTGGTCCAAAAAGGCTTTGTCTGTACCTGCAGCCAGCAGTGACCCAGCACTGGGTCCACGACACAGCAGCTGCAGCACTCACCACTCCCACCTCGCTCCCAGCTACACGCTTGCTCAGCCAGGCAGAAATCACACTGGAATACAGAATTATCCTGCCTCAATCAGTTTGTCTCTAAGGCGTATCGTTTGGAGGGAAGGAGGGTGGTGAAAGATGTCTGCAGACATGATTTTTTTTGTTAATTAAGTTGTGCACATTCCAGCTCTCGCTGACGGCAAAGGGAGCACCCGCGGCCTCACCTGCGAGCTGCAGGAACCTGCCCAGGCAATCATTTGGTAATCCCACGTATAGATGTGTTCTGGCAGGCAAGCACAGCTGGGGTGTAGGTTCATGGACTTGGCAGCTCTCCCCCTTCTCTCCTGTGGGCATTTTATAAGTGTTAAGTTAGTGGTTTCCTTGCCCTGGCTCAAAACTGAGCCTGCTTGTCCATGAGAGCCTTGTTTCAGGTCAGGATGGAGAGGGATCAACATCGTGCAAAACTCACCAAGAGCAAGGGAGAAGCAGCAGCCTCGGGCTCAACCTTGTGACCAACCCTTTGCTGGTTTGGAAGGAACCACTAGGTTAGGTTTGGATGCTGGATTGCTTGGGAGAGCTGGTTTTTTTAAAAATAAAACCAGTTCAGCAATCAAGAAGGTCTCAATGCCAAATGACATCTCACCTGCTCTGTTACACAGCTCTGGACTGGACCAGAATAGTTTTAAAATAAAGGTTACTAGAGCAGTCTACAAGAAACTAATACAAAGATAAGAGGAAAGGACCTATATTAAATTTTCTACATTAGATCTAGGCTAAGGATGCAGGAATTTTGTGGATCAGTTTCTGCTTTCCCCCACCACAACACATACACACACTGAAAATAAACACAAAACCAGAGTTTGTTCATTTTACAAAAATAGCTCTTATGAGATTTAATGCCTGTCTCCATTTTACAGATGTTCCAGACAAAAATCAACCTCCGTATTTTATATATAAGAACAGAACTTGTGACAAGCTGGAACATCCTCTCTGAGCTTGAGTGAGTGTAGAAAGTCACCTGGGTAAAACCTGCCTTTAGCTTGTTCAAAATATCTGTGGTAACGTCAAGTGTTCCCAATAATGATCCAGAAAAACAAAAAAAAATAAGGACATAAACCCCAGACTTCACAACAGAAACTGATTCCTTACAGTACAGATAAGGAATATCTGGTTAGGTAATTAAAAAATGCACCAATGTTTTCATGAACTATTAAGCAAAAATGGCTACTATAGAGTTATATAAGGGAGCACCTACAGGTTGAATCTCTTCTGCTTAACTTAATTAGGAAGCTAAAAAAGACAGAAGAGAACCTTATCCTGGTGAGGTTATCTTCATTACCTGGAAGTTCTGCAACCACAGGCAAAACAAGGCGAGTATTTTCCCCTCTGAGAGGCAAGCAGGCTGCATTTTGAGACTTATTTTACAATTCGCCCTCCCAGACAAGATTTCCAAAGCAAATGCTAAAACCGTCTCAAGTTAAGATATAAATAAATAAAGAGGAGTGACAGGACTCCCATGGGATATCCTGACTTATGCTACAGCAGAAAATAGTCTCTTAAATCTGAGCACAAAGTGGTTTGAAATAATTTACATGTGATCCACACCCTGTGACGTGCCTCTTATTTTTGGTTCTTGTTCTCTCAGGCATTTAGGAGATTTATGTGGGATTTCAGTGAGATTAACCATATGCACTCCCAGGAGTTCTGGACGTTGTCACAGGCCTGCCAAGGAACCTAAAGGTGAGGCCTGCTGTCACACCATGGTGCTTAATGAGGAAAGGATGGGATTTTAATTAATTTAGCTGATTCTTTGAGCATTGCTGTGTTTTAGTCTTGAGTGTGCACGTCTAGATTGAGAGCTGAGTTCCAGGAGAGAGCAGCACTGTGGATTAGCACTTATTAGTCCAGTCTCACAGCAAGTAGAAAAGACTCAAGTCACTCTTCAAGTTGGTTTGAGGACCAGGAGAATAGTGATGAAGCCTCACTATCCACCTAAAAGCACATGCTGCAGGCTCAGCAGAGGTAACCAGGGTTCCCTGCCCTTCTCTGAAGGCAGCAGGGGAGGTTGGGCACCCTTTAATTCCGGGACTCCGAGGACGTCGGGCTGCGAACCGTTGACATCAGGTGGGATTTGTAAGTCTTGCTCAGGCCGGTCATCCAGAACTTGAGAAGTTTGACATTGTCCTCCTCTGCAGCTCCCAGAATGCTCAGCAGTTTTTGGGTATCCTCCTTGGGTCTGCTGTCCACTTTAGTGAATTTAAAGAGGACTTTCACTTTACTGCAGAAACAAGAGATTCCTGTCATTATCAAATGGACTCACACACCATCGAACAGAGAACAAGGAGGAACTGGAGCTTCTCTTGGCACCTACTGCAACAAATGTTAATAAAAGCTTCAACCAGTGTTTTATTGAACTGTTCTCATGCTTGATGAAGGAGGGAGATTAGTTAGAGAGATGACTCATTTTCAGTAATAATGGGCATATTTCTAGTTTGGTTTTGTCATTCTAGCAGAAAGTAGAACAATTAATTGTGACAACTGGGAGACACATCCAGTGCCCATCTGCCTTCAGGTAAATTCACAAATTCATGAATTCTTTCACATGACTGACTGGTCTTCCTTTCCAGCTACCTGCACCTCTGAAATGCAGGGCCTCAAGGCAGAACTCAGGCATGTATTTGGGTGTTACCTATGCTGGGGTATGGCCACACTGACAGGCAGAGGGGGATTTGCATATTTAATCCTCCTAACCAAGGTGAGGCAGACAGCTGTTGTCATGCAGGTAACCTACAGATGTATGAACTGAAGCATAAAGGTTAAGAACTGCTGAAAGCCAAAAAGAGAGTTGGGACTACAGCAGAAAATTCTTAACTCCTGACTTAATTTGTTCCTGTAAACCCAACTACTGCTGAGCTGCAGCAGAATTCACCTGACTAAAGTGTGTCCTGCACTCTGCTGTTACTGTTCCAGGAGCAGCACCACAGCTGCTCCTGTGAAAGCAAGGTGGCTGTACTTACTTCATCCACTCCTCCTTCAGGCAAACAAGGCACTGATCCACAACATCCACAGAGAGGTTCTGGTTGGTCAGGGCAGCTTCAATCTTGTTCAAGATTGTTGGGCCAACTGCAGGAGTGGAAAAAGGGGGAAAGGGTGAGAAAGAGGACACACAAGCTAAAGGTTACTGCTTGCACCTTTACTACTAATTATTACTGGACTAATAATTGGTAAATATATCCCCCAATGGCCGGCTGGGATTTCAGTTCCATGGAAAAGGAGCTAAAGATCATCCCATTAGAAAAGCATCTGATCCAACAAAGAAGCAACATGGAATTCAGTGAATGACCCTGGGACATCCAAACAGGTTCAAGGGCCTTTTTTTTTTCTTCTGATCCACTTTTAAACTCCTGCTTAGCTTTTGTTATCAGAAGATCATTAAAAACACAAGGTTATGAAAAAACTTTCCCGCTTCTTTGTACAATATACAAACATACATATAAAAACATAAACCCTCAACTTATACTTGATTTAATGTTCCTCTTGTTAAGAGCAGTTCCATGATGCTTAGTGAAAAAATAAACCAGCAACCAACCCCAAGGCATTCCTGGACCACTTTTTGGAAGTCCTCAGGAGACTTTTTTTCCCAGCAGTCCATGGCCTACTAAGTTTGATGGTGTGGTAGAGAAAAAAACCTTGCAGTGACTATTTTTGTCCAGAAGTTTCTGGACATGCCAGTGACTGGATGGAAAATAAACTGGTGTATTTATACATGTGGGATCAACAACAGGAAGAGCACTACGGAGAGAGCAAGAGTCTCTGCTTTGCATCTCTGTCTTCAGGGACAGAGAGGAAGGATGAGCCATCTGCCATGTCTTTTGAGACACTCAGTGAGGCCAATTCATCTAAATTAAGACTTCCCAGAAAAGACTGATGGACCTGACTCAAATCACCTCTAAGTGCAAGAGTGCAACTGCTGGAAGGAAGTAGGTAAAATTAAATTTAAAAGTCTGGGTATTTCTCTATCAGTCATATTTGGCTATCAAGTGGAGCATGGAAAATTAGTGATGTCATTGTCCTTATAAGTTAGTCTTACTCAAAATAGACACACAAGTATTCCAGGATTCAAAGTGTTCACTGTGAGTTACAGA